TATATAAAATAAAATATACGCTTCTCATCTCAAATTAAAATTTTCCATAATGTATTTTTGGAAAAAAGATTTTTTTTGGAGAATGTTACAAAAGAAAATGAAAAATAAAATATTATGCATAAAGTAAAAATAATAATTGAAAGAGGTAATGAAAAGAAAGAAAAATATGAAAACAGTCTTTTTCTTGAACTCCGTATTTTATTTTACCTTTTGGTTCTTCATTTTTTAAAGTCCTTTGAAAATTATTTTACTTTTAAATAACAAATAAGTTAGAATTTTTAATTAGAGACAGAGTGAGTATATGTTATCTAATTTTTTATTTTATTTATTTTACTTTTACTTATAATGAAAAGCGGTATTTTATTTCATTTTTTAATTTTTCATTTTCTTTTGTAACATTTTCTAAAAAAAATTATTTTTTTGAAAACTAAATAAATGAAAAATTTTAATTTGAGAAATGGGGCGTATATTTTATTTATTTGTATAACCAAAAAAATGCAAATAAAAAAGTGAAACTTGAATGTAGAGAAAAATAAAGGGCAAAAATGTCATTTTATGTCTAAAAATAGGCAAGAGGGGGCGTTTGTGCACTACTTAAAAACCACAAGGATTTTACAAATAACTTTTGAAAGTAGAGGAAGTTTTAGCGCTCCTTTTGTAAACCAAGGGGGGCACCCATGCTATTACCCATAGATCAAAGAGACAATATAGAGAGAGTGTGCACCGTTTATCTCTGAGCATTAAACAATGCATCTTTTATTCTCGATGGGTGGCTAAGGTAAATCACTTTTTTTTAAATCTATTTTCGTTAATCAATTGATAAAATAATAGTGTCATTTCACATCTTGTTTTGTAGAATTTTTTATTTAGTTTTAAAATTTATAAATTTTATATTTTATTTTCAATTTTACACCTATAATCAAATAAATTTAATTGAAAATAATTTTAGTTAAATCTCAAAAACCGGGGAATATAATTTTAGAATGAGAGAGTATTTCAATATTCCAAATAAAATTGCATTGGGAGTAAAAACGAAGACATGCTCGTACATGCATGGGTAAATTTCTGACCTCCCTTTAAGGTTAAATTTGTTGCGTTCGGTACTACACGATTGTACGCGTGGATTAAGAAAGAAAGAAATAAGAAAGTAACTTGCCCATAAAATAGAAAAAGGATTCATGAAAACATGGACAATTTTTGCACAAAGAGCTCAAAGAAATACTATAAGCGCAAACTAGAGAAGAATGAGAAAAGCAATTCAATAATATGAAAACTGTATAAGATCGAACAATTTTCACATCAATGAATGAGGTGAGCTGGAAATGATTAGGCTATATGTGCAACAGGTTTAACATATGAGAAATTTACTTAAATAAGACTAAAACATAATGACTTTCCCAATATAGGACTATATGTTTTTATTTCCCTATGTAGGACTTTTGGTCATTATCAAGTAGTCATTATTCAATTAAATGTCTATCATTACTGGACATTATTCCTTCCACTAGGTCATTATTAAGTCCTATTTAAGGAATAAAAAAATTTAAGTCCTACATTAGGAAAGTCATTGTGTTTTAGTCCTATTTAGTGCAAATTTCACTTAACATATTAACATAAAACAGAAACGTTTTTTGTTTTTTAAAAATCACCAACCATAGAAAAGAAATTAAAGAAGAATAGAAGAAAAATGGGGAATTGACAGGGAAAAAACAAAGAAGTAGTCTGTATACGTCCTCTAAATATGTACTCTACTACTGCTCTTTGTGACCAATACGCAATGGCCTACCTACCATTCTCTGCCGACTGTTCCCCTTAATCATTGAACCATATCCCCGCTGTGGAGTGTCATGGAGATAAGATTCGAGTTCGATTCAATTTTTAGCAACTGTGTTCGGGGAGACAACCATGAAAAACATTGGATCTCTGCAAGTACCAGGTGCAAGTATGTAAGCTTCACTCTTTGCTATCAATCTGTGATCAAAGTCTAATTTAACTTCTCTCAGTAACCGTTCGACCAGATCTAATATAAACGACGTAACTTTAAATATACCTACAGTAAGATGAGATCAGATCAGATCGATCATCTAAAGATCTAATCATATTTGAGGAGATAGGTAAGATGGGCCAATAGAAAAGAGCGTAAATCATGGACTCAAAGACTCCCCTATAAAGCCCAAAGCTTGGTTCGGACACTCACCACACATGAGTCATGACCTACCTAACTATATATCTATCTATCTAAGCTTCGTTACAATAATAATTAATTAAGTGGTATGTATGTAACTAGCTAGTTGGTGATCGATCTGAGCTGAGCTGATCTGAGGTGGCCACACCGTCGTCGTATCATGAAAATGGGGAAAGAAGAAATAATGGACGAGAGAAGAAAAACCCCCAAAAGGGTGAATCATAAGGGTGGAATGATCACCATGCCTTTCATCTTTGGTACTTTTTCTCCATCTAAATAATATCTAGCTACTTAATTAGTAGTAATTATAAAGCTAGCTAGCTCTCAATTAGTTCATGTCATCGATCAGTACATACATACATACATACATACATACATATATATATATATATATATATATATATATATGTACGGATACATGATGATGATGATGATGGTGCAGCAAATGAGATATGTGAGAAGTTGGCGGTGGTGGGATTTGCGGCAAACATGATCATCTACCTGACCACCCAGTTGCACCTCCCCCTGACCAAAGCCGCCAATACTCTCACCAACTTCGGCGGCACCGCCAGCTTAACGCCCTTGCTCGGTGCCTTCCTCGCCGACTCCTTCGCCGGCAGGTTTTGGACCATCACCCTTGCTTCCATCATCTACCAAATCGTACGTTCGCTTGTCCGTTTATAAGTTCTTGAGTTGAACTCATTTATTAATTAATTAGATTCAATTGTTTAAGTTCATTCAAATGTCTTATGACTCACTCAGTCATTCCAATAATAATGTGCTTTTATTTGTGACTATGGTGGGTGTTAATTAGGGAATGACGCTTTTAACCATCTCCGCTATACTTCCTCAACTACGGCCGCTGCCATGCAAAAAAGCCGCGGACCAGATATGCCAGGAAGCGAACTTGGGTCAGGTGGCAATCCTCTACGTCTCACTCCTCCTCACCGCCTTCGGGTCGGGCGGGATCAGGCCGTGCGTGGTGGCGTTCGGGGCCGACCAGTTCGACGAGGCCGAGTCAGAAGAGAAGAAGCGCACGTGGAGATTCTTCAACTGGTACTACTTCTGCATGGGGGGATCCATGCTGGTGGCGGTGACGGTGGTGGTGTACATACAGGACAACGTCGGCTGGGGGTGGGGGTTCGGGGTCCCCACCATAGCCATGGCCATCTCGATCGCCGCCTTCGTTTTCGGGTACCCTTTGTACCGGAATCTGGATCCCGCCGGCAGCCCATTCACGCGGCTGGCGCAGGTGTGCGCCGCCGCGTACAAGAAGAGGAAGGTGCCCATGGTGTCCGATCCGGACATGCTTTATCAGAACCATGAGATTGACGCCGCTATTTCGGTCGCGGGGAAGCTATGTCACACTAATCATATGCAGTAAGTCCTTAAATTAACCTTTAATTACTCCGTAATAATTATGCATAAAATTTGTTAACGTTTTCTTTGCTCTAAAATTAAAGTTAGTTTATTGTCTTTTCTCTATAGATGTCGCATGTTTTTTCAAGGGATGTTACTTAATTAATCTCTTTTTAGAAATATTTGTATTAAATAACACTAAAATTTAATTCATTTTTTAAAATAACATTTAAACTGTTTTATTCTCAAAATAGCACTTAATAATGTTCAAAAGAAGGAATAATGTCCACTCATGGCGAACATTTAATTGAATAATGACTAATAAATAAAAACTACTCCCTCCGTCCCAAAAAGATTTATACGTTTCATAAATTTGTTGTCTCATAAAGAACTATACTTTTTCCTAAAAAAGACATTTCTACCCTAATAACTACCCCACCCACTATTATACTAGTATGTGCACTTCATTTGATATAATATCTTGTTTTACACAATTTATGGAGTACTTATACATTAGGATAAGGGGTAATATGGGGAGGTCAATGTAAAAATATGCTTTCCTTATTTTGCTTAAAAGTCAAAATGGGTAACACTTAATAGGACGGAGGGAGTAAATTGCTACATTGGGAAAAAAATACATGATGTCATTTACAGAAATTTATTACTCTCTCCGTTCTCAAAAACACTTTCTCTTTCAATTTTTACACTTCCAACAAAACACTTCCCCTTTTTATTAAAAAATCACTTTTACCCTTATTTTTTCATACCCTACCTAGTACATCATATTTTTTCTCTAATAATCTATTCATCACATCTTACTTTTACCCATCACATCAGAGGTTAAATTGGAAATCAACTTTAATTTAACACTTCTTTATTTCCAAACGGAGGGAGTATATTTTAGTGTTATTTAAATAAATTCTCCTTTTTTTGTGGTAGAGAACAAGGTGATGGATAAATAAAGACTTTAATTTAAGAATGAAATTTGTTAGGACGGATAAAATAGAAATGTTTCGCGGGGGGATAGACATGGAGTATATATATAAAATAATCCCCGGCCCGACCGAGTATTTAATGAGAGAGTTATTAACTATGGATAGACATGGAGTACTGGCCGGCGGGATGAGGCCGATTGTCTATATCCATCCAGCACTCCACAAGCTAGATAGTACTAGCTCTGTATATATTTATATTTAGAGAACAGATATATATTTGTGTTTCATATATGTATATAACGAATTACGTACTCCGGATTAAATATATATGTACAATATACTCCGTATTTGTTTCTATACCTGTACTATGTTCCTGTTTTTTTTATTTATTCATGAAACTATATGTTTAAGTCCCAAATTAGTTACTGAGACAACCTAAAAAAGTATAAAGCTTAATTTTAATTTAGATTGAAAAGGTTATAATTTAAAATTTGTAATCACGTATGTTAAAAAGCATCCCACATCGGAAAAATGTGAGGAAATTAATCGATATATAAGCACTTGAGTTGAACTAATTAATCGATTGGATTCAATCTTTTAATGCGATTCAACCCAAGTGTCTTATTATCCAATTCAGTTGTTCCACACCTATCCTAAATTCTATCAACGTACAATATTAATTCATTTGAAATAATTACTCTGGGGTTTTTACTTTATCAAAAAATATCTTCATTAAATTCGTCCTTCCATCAGTTTTGAGATTTTTTTTACTTTCTCATTTTTGTATTCTTGTTTTGACTCTGTTCGACTTATATAAAAAGGGAAAAAATAGGATTAAAAATTATTTCAAAATAAAGAAAAACACATTTCGTCACAATTTTAATCCTAAATGGGAATAAAACAAAATTTTGGAACCAACTCTAATAAGAAAAAATAAACATCACTTATGAGACAAATGAGGTAATTGATACAAATTAGGATCGGGCCGGACAATGACGTGTAATGTCGCATGATACGAAATTTGGCTAACTTTGACATGTTTGTGAAGACAAAATAATTTTTGGAATAATATGAACTAGTTAGTCTAAGATTGTTATTGTGCTAATAAATTACAGCCTTACTCTTTCAAGTTATTGCCTTATAAAGGTTAGACTTTTAACTTTGGAGATCTTATAAATAGTTAGTCCATGAATATTTTTCAATTTTCCATCATGTATACATGAATATTTTTGAATTTTTGAACACTAATAACTGTATAATAATGTAATATTCGTTCATATATTCTCAGTCTAGTAAACTCGTAAAGTTATTTCCCACACTGCGGATCGAACACATAATCATAGAGAAAGTTATAACAATGTCATTGAATTACAAGAGTCATTTCCAAGTCTTTATCAAAATCACACTATAGTGGTTGTGCCCCGCAAAAAAAATGACGCTATACAGGCTGGTAGGGTATGACTATGATATATTTTCGTGTTTTAGTGAAGGTGGATTCACAATTTAAACACGCAAGTTGAAGTGGTGTGAATAATTGGCCACAACGTGACAAAGACATGCATGGTCAAGTGTCTGCATGCAATAATAGAAAACAAAATGTCTTTTTTTCTTTTTTCAAAGAAAAATGTTTTTATTTTAAGAAGCTACAAAATTCTTTTACTTTTAATATTCCCTCCGTCATAAAATTACTTTTAAAGTTACTTTGAATACTTTACTTTTACTATTATTATTCTTATTATTTATTTATTATTATTATTATTATTCCTATTTGTGGGTGCAGATTTTTGGACAAGGCAGCAATAATAACGGAGGGCGAGGACCCTAAATCGCCGGACCTATGGAGTCTAAATACGGTGCACCGGGTAGAGGAGCTGAAATCGGTCATCCGGATGGGTCCAATATGGGCGTCCGGAATCATACTGATCACAGCGTATGCCCAACAAAACACCTTCTCAATCCAACAAGCAAAGACCATGGACAGCCACCTCACCCGCTCCTTCCAAATCCCGCCCGCCTCCATGTCCGTCTTCACCTTGTCCTCCATGCTCTCCACCATCGTCTTCTACGATCGCGTCTTCGTGCCCGTGGCCCGCCGGTTCACGGGCCTCCAACGCGGTGTCTCTTTCCTGGCCCGCATGGGGATCGGCTTCGCCATCTCCATCTTTGCCACCCTCGTTGCGGGCTTCGTGGAGACCAAGCGCAAGAGCGCGGCCTCTGCCCACGGGCTGACCGACCGCCCAGATATGACCATTCCCATTCCGGTCTTCTGGCTGGTCCCGCAGTATTGCTTGCACGGGGTGGCCGAAGCGTTCATGTCCATCGGTCACTTGGAGTTTTTCTACGATCAGTCCCCGGAGAGCATGAGGAGCACCGCCTCGGCGTTGTTCTGGACAGCCATTGCCGCCGGGAACTACGCCAGCACTGTGCTTGTGTCATTGGTGCACAGGCTGAGCGCGGGTCCCGGGGGATCAATTTGGCTCCCGGACAACAATTTGAACAAGGGGAAGTTGGAGTACTTCTATTGGTTGATCACACTGTTGCAAGTGGTCAACTTTGTGTACTATCTCTTTTGCGCCAAATTCTATACTTTCAAGCCTATTCACGTCCGAGACGAGGCCCTTGCACGATCCACAACAGATGGGATTGAGCTTGAAAACAATAATATTTGTCCTTAGTTCACTTTTACTCTATATAATTAATCAATCACTTTCAATTTTTGACTTACAACTAAATAAAATTATGAAAATATTTTATAAAATAGGAATTTACCTATAATCAAAATTAATTTGTGAGGTGCAACTGAAAGAGGGTGGGGTGTTGGGGTTGGAGCATGGTAGGGGGTTTACCTCACAATCTACAAAAATTGTGGACATCCCAATCCAACTACAATCTACAACATGAAAACTGTAAATACTTCACTTCCCAAGGCAAAATAGATTTTCTGTATTAGAAATCAAAGCTATTGTTTATTAAATTTTTACCTCACATAAGACGACATCTTTAATTAGGACATCATGCTTCTCTCTTGAGGTCTAACATTCAAAAAAGAGAAAAAATTTCTTTTAGGCATTATTGGACGGATCGGAGGGAGTATTGTATATTTGGGTGAAACGAAATTTGCATCTTAAATGGTTATACCTAAACCTTTCGCATAAATTTTCTAAACTCACACTCATATCAAATCCTCCCACAATCCTAAATGCATTTTATTTAGAAAATGGCATGAGATTAATACTTATAAAGAAGTCATCCACAACCCATGCTCAAAGTTTGGCCACACATAGTTGAAGCCACCAAAAAATTGTCACATCTGGATCCCTAAAAAGGAAATGAAAGAATGGATGTTGAGTTGAGATTGAAAACTCAAGACAAAGGCTTGAGTGAAGGAAAAAGATGCCTAATGCAATGGAAACAAAATAAAATAAATAAGTTTCAAACTTAAAAAAGGTTGCCAACACCACGCATGATGAAAAACAGGCATAATGTATACTTCATGTGTTTCAGGTGGATCCTTTATGAACTCTTATCAACTAAGTACCCCACCATCATTCTATCATTGGCCTAAAACCTCATATACCTCACTTTTAATAGGGCATTGGCCATTCAAAAATACTAATGATTTCAACCAATGACTTCCATGTTATTATTTTTTTGTTTTAGGTAAATATAACACGGTAAACCTGTTTGAGGCAATTCGTTTATTAAAAAAATATGAGCTAAATATAACAGATTGTGGCTTATTTTGCTCAAAAATGATGTTTGTTGAAAAAAAAATCATTTTTCAAATTAAACTCCATTTTTCAAGGATAGAGGGAGCATCTAGTCTAGCAACAGCAACGATTATTCTTACCTTGCCCAAAAATACTAAAAGCACATAAAACCATACAAAATGTCCACAATAACTCCATCTAGATCTCTAATGATTGTCATCCCAAAATTCTGTTAGTCCAAATTTATATTCCAAGGCTAAAATAGTTTATTGTTTTTGTTCTAAAAACTACCACCACGTATTCAAAAGGACAACCATTGTTCAAATATGTCATCCGTGTGTCAATGGATCTGCATTTTTATCACTAATCTGATCTTACTCAAATCTGCAAGTGCATTCTCCTCTCCACTAAGATGTAGAGAAGAACTTATTAATGATTGAAATAAAAATCAAAACCGAAAATTTCAACAAAAAAAAGCAATACAAATAGAGGATATGTTATAATAGTAGCAAGGCCTAGTTTCATTGATTCCTTCAACTCCTCAACATCATTATCACCAAGATTTGTGATATTTATCAACAATCTCCTGGTGTCAATTAATCTATCTTCGATGTGCAAAGTTTTAAAAAAATGAGAAATAACATTTTAAAAGAGTGCTTAAAAATGAGAGAAATCAAAATAAAATCACAAAATAATGGATTGTTGTTTTTAAACAAAGTTCAATGATATTATTATCAAAAAGTTACCTGCAACATCAAACATTAGAAGATACAAAGGGAGATATTTTATACTCCCTCCGTCCCAAAAATAATGAGACGGTTTGACTTTTTGGGAAATTAAAGGATGGATATTTTGGCATTGACTTTCCAAAAATACCCTTGATGTGATGGGTAAAAGTAGGATGTGATGGGTAGATTATTAGAAAAAAGGTATGATGTGATAGGTAGGGTATGGAAAAGTAAGGGGTAAAAGTGGTTTTTAATAGAAATGTAACGGACTTTACGGGACGCAGTTTTTTTCTAAACGTAACAAACTTTTTGGGACGGAGTGAGTATTAGAATCCATCCACGGATAATATTAGCTTTAGTGAAAATCCAAAATTAGCAAGTTGCGAATTGCACATTTCAGTTAAGCGTTAAAAAGGATTACCTAAGAGAAACATGGGCTAGAATGCCCTAGTCCCTGTTAACGGAAAGAAAGATGTACTAACCTGCAGGAACAAAAAAAAAGTAAAATCAAATAAGCCAATAAAAAAACTTTGCACCGGTTAATCTAGCAAGTTAGGGACATTAAAAACCCTAAATAACAAAATATGCACATGAAAATGTGAAAAGGTCCACATTTAATTTACTCTAAGAAAATGATTGAAGCATTGCCCTCGAAACATGAATTCGATTTTAGGCAACAATAATAGGTACGCACCTGGAACCAAATTTTGAGATAGAAAGCGGTGCATGAGTGGCCGGCGGCGTGGAGGAGGCGGAGAGCGACGCTGCTATCGACGCCACCGCTGACCAGAACCGCAATCTTAAGCGGACTCTTCCCTGGCAGTGAGCAGGAGAGGTATTTGGGGTCGATAACATACTCTGATTTCAACGGAGAAGGCGGCGCGATGGGCGGAGTGGCTGAGGAAGAGGCGGATAATCGTCGCAAAGGGCGTAGTGTAGTCTTAGCGTGAGAGTGGAAGATATTGTGAGAAAGAGGGAGTTGCAGGTGTGAGAAGAAGGGTAGGGAGCGGTTGAAATTGGAGAGGGTGCAGTGCTTGAGATGAGATAATGGCAGGTTTTCCACTTACGGTTTTCAACACAAAAAATTGACTTGGTCAATGGTCATAATGGGTAATGGACTTGGCCTAACTCAATCTTCTTTCTTCCATTTAACTTCAACAATCCAATCTTGTAATTTTCCTTTTACTTTTTTTTTTGTATTTCAAAATATATCTAAAAATACTCCCCATCTGTCCACCATAGATCTTCCCAGACACTATTCGCATGGTCAAACTTTACTCGCTTTGTTTGCTCAATTTTACTAGTCATTTCATAAAATAATATAGTCTTGTCACATCTAGTTTTGTAGAACTTTTCATGTAGTTTATTACTATATAAATTTTATTTTAAAATTTTACTCCTATAACCAATTAAATTGAATTGAAAATAAAGTCGGTCAAGCCTCGTAACGCGTAATGGGAAGATCATACATGGACGGAGGGAGTATTATTCATGGAAAACAATACTCCAAAATAATTGTATCATACAAATATGCTTAAAATTATGCATTTTATGTATAAAATGTAAACAATCGCCTAAAATATTAAATATAACAAAATATGATTATTTAAGAATAAAATGCCTATAAAATATATTTAAAAATACTAAGAAAGGCGGGAATAAAATATGACATTTTGTGACTCAACACTAATGTTACAAAATGCATAAAAATTAAATCAAAATTTTTCTAGAAAATATTTTCTCCCAACAAAATGCATCCTTAGAGTTTAATTTTTACTCGGCGTATTTATTTTTGATTATTTTCGTTTCATTTTTGTTGTTTTTTCGTTTAATTTTTTTGATTTTTTTATGTTTATTGACTTTTTTGTTATTTTGAGAACAATGAATATAATCTTTCCCTATAACAGTGCTAAAACTTGTTGGGCATATCCTAACACCAACAAAATAATTTATTATTTTTTAGAGATAATAGCATGGGTGCCCCCCGTGGTTTACAAAAAAAGCGCCAAAACCCCCTCTACTTTCAAAAGTTATCTGTAAAACCCTTGTGGTTTTTAAATAGTGCACAAACACTCCATCTTGCCTATTTTACACATGAAATGACATTTCTGCCCTTGGTTTTTCTCTATCTTCAAATTTCACACTTTTCTTTACATTTTTTGTCATACAAATAAATAAAATAAAATATACGCCCTCTTTCTAAAATTAAAATTTTTTATTTATTAAATTTTCAAAAATATAATTTTTTTAGAAAATGTTACAAAAATGAAATAAAATACACTTTTTCATTATAAGTAAAAGTAAAATAAATAAAATAAAAATTGGATAACATATACTCACTCTATCTCTAATTAAAAATTCTAACTTATTTGTTGTTTAAAAGTAAAATAATTTTTTAAGGACTTTAAAAAATGAAGAACAGAAAGATGAAATAAAATATGAAGTTAAAGAAAAAGAATATTTTTTATATTTTTATTTCTTTTCATTACCTTTTTTAACTATTATTACTTTTTACTTTGTACATAATATTTTATTTTTCATTTTTTTGTAACATTCTCCAAAAAATATTTTGTTTTCAAAAGTACATCATAAAAAATTCTAATTTGAGATGGGAAGCGTATATTTTATTTTATATATTTGTATAATAAAGGTAATTGAAATTGGAAAAATTCAAGATTGGGGAAAACAAAGGGCATAAATGTCATTTTTGCTTTAAAAATAGGTAAGGGGGGCATGTGTGCTCTATTTAGAAACCACGGGGACTTTACAAATAACTTTTGAAAACAGAGAGGGTTTTGATGCCCTTTTTGTAAACCACAGGGGACACTCATGCTATTAACCCTTATTTTTTAACTTAAATAACCCATGATGAATTAATACTGATTAAAAAAGCATGGGGCATATAAGTATCAATTTCACGAGGAAAAATATTTTTATGCCATAAATAGTACTTAAATTTGTCGTTATTGTTATATGAAATAACCAATAAACACTAATAAATATTGAGATGTTTGAAAGATAATCTCAAAAGTGATGGATTTTAATCCATTGAGGGTATAAAAAATATAAAATATAATAATATAATAATTATAAATAATATGATGAACACATCATATTTACGTAGCAACCTAAATCGAGAGAAAATCAATGCCTTTCTTGTTGTCTCATGCCAAGGGGACAATTGATTTCTAATCATGAATATGTGTATAAGTTTATAAGATGTGGCTCGGTGGCCATTAATAGAGCTTGAAGCTCTACCGAGAAGATAATGAATGGAATAGAGAGGAAGTAAATCTGATTTGGTCTCCTTCTCTATGACTTGCATCCTCTATTTATAGTAGGATAAAAAAATTTAAGGTTAAAGTTTTCATAATGGACTTTTCTTGTGGGTTGGGACAATGACATTGGACCCAATCACCATCATCCTCCTATTTACAATAGCAGCAGGAAAATTTTCCCGCTCAGTTGTGCCAGGCCAATACGATGCCGGTTTCTGTAAAATATTCCGTGTTAAAAACCGCAGCACAAAGTCTCAACCACCCACTAAAGGGACCTTTTAATCAGATGAGGTGCAGCGTATCTGCGTATGTGGAGTTAATCGATCGGAACATTGCAACGGAGAAGATGGAGGCTTGCAAAGGAGAAGATGGAGGCTTTCTTGCAAGAGTATTGTTCATAGTCTTCCTCGACTTTGACCTAACGGGTACAGTACATCTTAATTTCATCAATTTCTTGATATATTCTTTTCACAAGGTTTCAATCCGTCTATACCCCTATATATCTCCATATCAATTTCATGTTAATTTCATCAGTTTTGTAGATTGATTTCAAAATAAGCATATGGTTTGTTTAGATCCATTTCTTGAAGTATACACTAATCAACCCATTTATGGAGTCTTAGGTTTTTCTTGATATTTAATCACAAAGAATATTGTTTTTTAAATTTAGCATATTATTAAATGAAATCAAATATCCAAAATCCGTAGGTTGAAACCCAAACGGCAGTATAAATGCACAGAAAAATCAATAAAAAAATAGACCATTTTCCAATTTGTGGACATTATACTTGCATAGGGCATGCTAATCTTCATTGTCTTATGCTATAATTTTGTGATATGCCAGAGGTATAGAGAGATGTCTCCATTTTGCTTTTCTTTTATAGATCTTATGCAAACAACATATGGCTGCAGGAGTAGGTTCATAATATCATTCCAATTGTCCTTGGTGCTTTGGATGGTTTGGTGTTTGAATCCATCCCAGATCCTATCACAAAAGTATGCACTCAAGGTGTTCAACAAAATTCCTCAAAGGGAATTTCTAAATTTCTATTTCTGGAGCATGAACAATTATTTAATTTTTAATTCTAGCAAGTGATTCATCAAATACCAGGCCCCTTCCCAGCACCATGAGTCTTATTCTAACATCAGTGTTTTTTTATGAAGCTTTCTTCAAACTCTAAATTTCAGAGCTTATGGATTTCGGTGTGTTTCCTATGGGTTTTCAGGTGTCAATAAGAGGTCAGACGTGCATTCATGTTCTCATCGCTCACTAGTAAGACAGTACAAGTATGGCGACTCTCTGCCGTGTGTATGCATCTTTAACTTTTTCTTCTTCTTCTTCTTACAGAAGTAATTTTCTAGGGATCAAATTCATTAATACTTTGTGGAGTAATATTTGCTACAGTTTGTGCAGGTTTTTTTGCTGGATGAAGTTTTTTATCCAAGCTGCACCATAAATGGTAACAATCACTGAACACTAGATTTGTAGTTTTTTTTAGGAACTTATGTTTTAAACTTGAAATATGACATTACTTGCTAGAGAGGTGTTATTCGTGTTCAATTTTTCAAATTTGCATCTTCTTTGTGTACTTTGTCTACAATTTATTTCTTCTTTATGAATTTTGTCTACAATTTGTGCATCCCAAGCTAATCATCTTTCCTATTTTATTGGTTGTCACCAAACAGACGTACTGTGTCTACATTTGTTCTATCTATCCATTATGTAATGCATGATTTTTTATTGGATAAATTGAAACAAAAAGGCTTCTTTAAATTGTCAGTGTCCTTCGCTTGAAACCCCTGATGGCCTGATGATTGTCCATGAGGAAAGCACAGACCAATTCCCTTCAGTTTAACTAGAAGTTACAATTAATAAGATTTGAAAAACTCTAAGTTACATCCAAGAGACAGAGCGCGGACAAGAGCCATTATTGACACGAGGATTAGGGTTCCGAATCCTAGCCACTGACTTTGTAATCTGATGGTGCGGCATTGGTGTAGAACCTAGCAGAGGCAATGACAGAGCCGAGATAGAGTTTCGAGCCTAGACTCGCCCATGGAGGACACCAGTGCAACACAAGGAAGACACATTCAAAGAAGAGGTAATAACATCTTTTTCAAATGTCCAAATAAGTGAATGTTGCTCAAACAACTGTGTCTTAAGATCGAATCAACCGAGGTAAACCACGTGCGGATTTATAGGAAAATATCTTCAAACTCTAAATTTCAAAGCTTATGGATTTCGGTGTGTTTCCTATGGGTTTTCAGGTGTCAATAAGAGGTCAGACGTGCATTCATGTTCTCATCACTCACTGGTAAGACAGTACAAGTATGGTGACTCTCTGCATTCAAAATATACTCTGAGATCCTTAAAATTCTTTCATTTAGACCACGTTCTCTTCACCCGATCTGATTGGTTCTGATCTAATGGGAATAAGTTCTGGTTTGATCTGATCTGGTCTGATCTAAATGTAGTTATATTTAAAGCTGTTTTTGATCTGGTCTGATCTCATTCCAATAATGATAAGTAACGAGTAAAAAAATAAGTTGGGGAGAGCATGACTTTAGACGTGATACGATGGGTGTATTCCCACCCAAGACCCAGGTCGGGTCGAGCACTACAGGAGCCCACCGAGTGGGTCTAAGTACAATCCAAAAGAAGGAAATGAGGGAGTACAGATCTAACTCGGTGGCTCTCAAACCACCTGGGTAATTGGACAGCCACGACGTTATTGGTCAGGAAGCTAGTCTTGCTAGAAAAATCTTTAGACCACCCGGGTGTCCCTTCAAGGAATCACCTAGGTGTGACATTGAGACGCGTGCACACTAACACACTGTCACGCTTGGAAAGTAGTGTTTCGGAGTAATATGGTCTGATCAGATCTCTTGCATCAAAGGATACATTCAAGCCTTTAGGCCGAACACTACATGCCAATGGAGAAAGTCATAGAGCATAACAGTCAAAGGAACAAAACAAGGGTCCATCACCTCATCACGCAATTGGCACATGACCAGGCGTGGGCGCATGCCACACTATCCATCTTTACACTATAAAGACCTATGTAACTCTCAATGGAAGGGATGTGAATCTTAGCTGTCTAGAGCAAGTTGTGTAATTCGTCCCTGTACTCACCTTTCTTAATAACAATTGGGCTACGAGTGTTTCCCTACAGTCCTCTCGGTCAATCTTTATTTCTTGAATCCTTTTAGAATCTAAATCCAGTAAACCCCTCTAAGCCCGGTCTAGAGTAGTTTACTCGTGTGATAATTTAGACCATCAAGACATTAGGATTAGGAATTCTTTTAATCCTAACAGATAAATACTCAAAATGTACTCAATGAGTACATTGCCTCTAGTTTTAGGGACCTCCGTAATATATTTAAAATAATGTAAAATTTGAGAATTTCTATAAAAAAATTAAGGACACCCGAAACTTGAAAGTCATTACTAAAAAGTTGAAATATAGTCTAAACTCGAGGAACAATCATTTTCTCATTTGTAACGAATAAAGTAGGAAGGCTATGACTTGGGGCCTATTTGGGAATAGTGTTAGAGATTAACGTTAGCATTTTAGATAAAATTTTAACGGTACAGATTACTTTCAAAATGTCGTCCCTAAACGAACGCTGCTCTTTCAAAAAGCTAAAGGTATTCCAAACCGACCATCTTGTAAATCCCCAATTCTCTAAGGTTATATCAGGAAACCAGCGGTTTCCCTCCCACAGTTCATCCGGAAAACCCTAGCCTTTTATAAATCCCTATTTCCAGCGTTGGTGTTCGGAACTCATCCATCGCCGAAGATTTCTCGATTTAGTTTTCCCGCATCCGTGGTGTTCTTTACTCCGACGTATAGTAAGGAGGTTCTTGGTGGATGGCCACGGCGGAGAAGGCTCCGCTGTACGTAAGTTGGAATGAGGTGTCCTCTTCTGCCGATAAGGGCCGGAAGGAAGTTTGCTACTATCTGAATCGCAGAGATGGAGTCTCAGATCTGGCGGTTGTCGGGACAGAAAAGGGTATAAAGCATTTTTCGTATCACTACGCCTTAAAGGATCCGTCTTTGTTATCGGCATCGTATCCTGTGTCTCTTCCTAAGCTCCGGAAACGAAGAGAGGTCATCGATTGGTTAAACTCCATTGTTTCAGGTGCATTTTCTTAGGCAAATACATGGTACTTTTAATCAGCACATCTCTGCGGTTTCTTTTTTAGTTCTATTTGTTTGTTCTAATCAATTTGGTGCAAGCTTGTCCGTCTATTCTTGCGGTGACGGTACATCTTTTGTGAAACGCAGTTCATTCATTGTTAATTCCTGCTCTATTTGGAGAACATCTTCCAGCTCCAGTCAGCGCTTTGGGGTTAGGGTTCTCTTGGATCCATTTCTCTCTGTAGTTGTTTTCAATGTCTGAGAATTCTTCAATTGATACACAAAGCATCATAGAAGAACCTTTCTAATTTCCCATCCAGGATAGATTTAGGTAGTAGATGCAGGCACTTCATATAGATTCTGGATTATGCTATCTGAAAGTAATACTGAATGTGTGTTAGAACTGTTTTACTTTCTTGTTAATATTTTTCACAGCCCATATTTTCTATAAGTTAAAACAACAATTTATAGATAACAAAACAGTTTTAATCTATATATTTTGTTCGCTCTCATATTTGGTAAATGCAACTTGGAATTCAGGAACTTGCTTGCCATGCGTATTCCATCACATTCCTTCAAAAGTTCCATATTTCTCTTTGAAAATACAATTTTTATGTGAAGTGGGATGTTTTATATTTTAAGAAATTCTGCAAGCTTATATTGTTTGGTTTTCCAAATTAGAGCATATTGTTTGTGTCCTAACGGTTTTCCAAGTTAGAGCATTTTTTGTTGATGTGGTCATCTCCATTTAGCAGTGTCATGTCTAATCCTGATTTCATGATATTAAAACGTGCATCTTGTGTCTAAGCATGCCTGCTATCCCTGGATGATAATCTCACCAATTGCCCGAGCTGCTGGAATTCCAAATTATTGGTTGAGAGCTTCAGGATTATATGCCCTCACTATAGGTCAAGTTCTATGATGACTTCTTATGGGAAAAACTTTTAAATTTACTATCACATCTTCTCATTACTGTCTTAGTGATTTGGTATTCCTTTATTGAGCTCGCTTTCTGCTTTTTTTTGTGTTATTCATCAATATTTGTGCTTTTTATTGTTTAGTTCATTGGACACTATATTCTGATAAATTTGTAGCTCTAATGCTCATCCAATGCTGATTGTTCTTTTTACAAATTTTCATTCAGGTCTTAATTATCAACAGAACATTAAAGAATTATCTGGATTCAGAAAAAATGGAGATGCTTGTCCGAATGCACTTAACACACTGGAGGTTAGTCAGTTTTGCTTATTTCCTCAAGATATGTTTAGGTATGGTAAGACTATATCTAATTCAGTTTCATTTTCAAAACTTTGTCAGGATGGTCATTTGCAGACATTGGGTCAGCATGCCACAGACTTCACTTGGATAGGATCTCCATGGACATGTAGAAAGAAACGTTGTCATTATACATCATTTTGTAGGAATGGTGTGAGAATTTCTGTAAGTTCTTTAAAGAAACACAACAGGAAAATCTATGGAATGGTTGATGCTGAGCATGTAGTGCAAAATGGATAACATGTTTTTATTGCACATTTCCAGGTTTATGACTTTGTTTTCATATTAGCTGAAGAAGGTAAGCGGCTTGTTGCTTACCTGGATGATATGTTTGAAGACATCAGAGGAAACAGGAAGGTTGTAGTACGCTGGTTTCACAAAATTGATGAAGTTGGTATTCTTTTGCATAGTAACTATAATGACAGAGAGATTTTGTTTTCTCTTTGTCATCAAAGCCTCGGTATTGAGTGTGTCGATGGACTGGCAACTGTCCTCAGTCCTCAGCATTATCAGAGCTTCATTAATTTACCAAGTCGCACACATCCAGAACCATTTGTTTGCCATAGACTGTTTGATAACAATGAGCTCAAGCCCTTTGTCATATCCAATGTTAATGGCTACTGGAACCAGGAGTTATTGAAACAAATGCGTTTTTCACTACCCCACAAGACAAAGCCAGAGGAATCTCCAATAGGTTTTTCTGGAAACAGGCCTAACCAAAGGTTATGCCTTTCGAAGTATTCTGAGCCAAGGAAAGAGCTGGTTAATTCTTTCCAGGAGCAATGCAACACTAGTTCCCTCAGAGCTGCAGTAACATGCACTTTCCAAGAAGCTTGTTTTGAGGGTTCATCTCTCAGAGATGTAGTGAGAGAGAATCATCTCCAGTTTTTTGACATTGGTTCCCAAGTTGAAATAATATCCCAAGATAGTGGCATTAGAGGATGTTGGTTTAGAGCTTTGGTGATCAAGAAGCACAAGAATAAGGTGAAAGTGCAGTATAAAGATGTAAAAGATGCTGATGATGAAGCTAAGAATCTTGAGGTGAGTGATGACTCCTGAAATGTTTTAAGTGCAGGCATACTTTTTTCAGAAATTTACAATCAAATATTTGGTTTTTAGATTTATAAGATTTATCATTTTTTGTTAATATATCACCAGACTGTTCAAATACGGAGTATATATTTCATCTTTATCCTGCAGGAGTGGGTTTTGGCAACTAAGCTCGCTGCCCCAGACAAATTGGGTCTCCGAATGCATGGGCGAACTATACTTCGACCTTCTCCATCATCCCATAAGGGCAGAGTTTCATGGGTATTTAATGTTGGAGAATCAGTGGACGCATGGTGGAATGAAGGGTGGTGGGAGGGCATTGTTGTCCATAAGGAATCTGAAAACAGGCTACTGGTCAATTTTCCAGGTCATTGTCAGTTCCTTATTCTTGTTTATGAAGTGTTTAGCAAAAATAACTTTATAAGCTGCAATGTAATTGCTCCGTCCCATAAATAATTTCTTCTGTCTGTATCACAACAAAATTTTCACTTATTTCCTCAAGGACGTAAATGTGACTTACGTCTCTTTTTCTCAAGATACTTTAACCATGCTTTTAACTTTTCAACATGGTTCTAATACCCCGTGGGAAGTTTTTTGGGGCATAGGTAGTAGTTTATAAAAGGATTAGTTAGCTTTGAAACAGTTAAGGTATATTTAAGTAATTATATACTATTATGGTGTGATGGAACTCTTTAATTTAACTTCTCCCACAGAAGACATGGCTTATTTGAGAAAGTTACTCTAAGCTTTATAATGTTTGCATGCCAACACAGATGGCCTCAAGGTTTAACTTTTAAAAAAATGCTAGGCAATACTGACGAAGTATTTAAAACCTGCAGGAGAGAAACGAACAGAAATCTTTAGCCACACTGACTTGAGGCATTCACAAGAATGGTTGATGGATGGCTGGAAACATCTCAAGGACAGACCGGACCTTGTCCCTTTGCTGTTGGGTGGCGAGCCCGCGGTGAAGGAAACCATGAAAGCGTCACATGATGGTACGCTTGCTAATGGGAATATCTCCAATTCCGTGTGCACGAGATCTGAAAAACCTAAAGAACTTAGAGTCAAAGTCGTGTTTAGCAAAAACACAAATTTGGACGCGATGATGGAAAGGGCATGTGATGATCTGTCCAAGGATGACCGACTTGGTCAGTTGAAGTGGAAGTCTAATAAGAAGAGAAGACTATGTAGAAGCCCTCCTGCCGCTAACAAGGCACATTTTTGCTCTGTGAACCTTCCCTCATCCATTAAAGTGGAACCCGAAAAGTGTAAATACATCACTGACTCCCTCTTCAAGTCCTCAGCCGTCTCTCCCCTGAACAACCTAGTCATGTCTCAGTGATGACGACTGACTTCCAATTTTCTCAGTTTCTCCGTATTTGTATGCGTTTCGGCTTCACAAGGCTTTGAAGCAGTGTTCCCTGGCCTTCTGTATAGCTTCTTCTCTGGTGAGATGTCTTTTTTTTCTTTGGTCGTTGCTGGAAATGTAATTAGTGAAGAAGCTTGTATTGTATCACATGAATTTGCTTAGATGGGTAGAGCCTGGTGTGTATGCAATCATCATGGCAGTTTTGATGTTCCTGCTCGGGCTCACAGCAGGAAAAAAATCCTTAATCTTATGACGTGTTTGGTTGGTGGGCTGGGATAAAATGGTCATTTCATTATTGGCATGGATGTGGTAATTAATCTATTGATTATGATTTTGCGTATTCGAGAAAAAAAACATAAAATTTTTTGGAGAATTTACTTTTGGTCCAATTTAAAAAGTGGTCACTTTGTTATCAATAATAAACCCAAATCAAAGACCATTTGGACACTATGTATATGAGTTATTATGATGCTGTCCGGGTGTTACCCACATGGATTTATTCTCTCATTGACTTGTCCCCCCTCCAGTATACCCTAAACGATAAATATATTGAAAAAGCTTCCCACTGTCAACTACATGACATTGAAATTAATTACTGCATTGTTTCTCCGTGATAGCCACAAATCTCCTATCAATGAGGTAAGAAAGGTGTTTGGCCATTGGCATCAGTTTTACTTTGATTGGCCTGGTTATAAAAAATTGACAAACCGAATAATAAGGCAAACAGTAAACCAAAGGAATTGTCTATGGTGATTGGACTTTGTGTACTTTGAAATAGGAAAGATATAGTGATCTACAATATGCTCTTATTCAATCTTACTTATATACTCCATATCATATAGTCATAGTTTATTAACTTTTAATTTGCGCTTCAAATTTTTTTTAGAACTTTCTCCAATCCTATATATCTTATATCCTATATGTAAAGTTGAGTATGTTGGTTGTGGTGTTGACATGTGACACTAATTAATGAGGTGGAGGCATTTCATTGATTCATTAAGCTTCTTTTTGAAAGATCTTTTAATATATTTTATTGTATTGTATTAAATGAATACTATTTTTTAGCATTAAAAACATTCCTTTTTTTAAGGCAAAATATATATATATATATATATATATATATATATATATATATATATATATTTTAACAACAGTGATTTCTTCCTTTGATTGTATTTTGTATAATATTTTAACATTTTCTAACATTTCTATAAACATATATTTCACCATTGTAAAATATACTCCGTATTTTAAATATGCATATTGATTGTAACATTTTAAAGAAGAGAATATATAAGACTCTTTATTATTAATTTAAAAATATTTCACTTTCAGAAAAATGAAAAAATATTTCACCTTCAAAGTTATTAAATTGTTTTTGGCATTTTTATGTTTTATTTAATTTAATATTTTTTAAATAAAATAGTTATAGAATTTTTAGTGCATGTACATCAATATTTAAAGTATACTTTTTATTTAAGAAATATACTCCGTATATGTTAGAGTGAAAAAATATTCATTTAAAAAAATTTATATTTATAGAATATCAAAAGTTCAGAATGTATATAAGCCCGTGCAAAACACGGGGTTAACACTAGTTACTTTGTATAAGTGTACTATCCACATTTTGAAATTGAGAGCTTAAATATGAATCGCGTGGAAGTTAATCTAGGGCATCCTTTCTATAAAAAATTAAAAATATTTATATTTTATTCTACATTTAGGTTTTTTATTTATTCTTTAATTTTTTATTTTTTGATTGTGCAAATATTTTAATTTGTGCAATTTAAAGTGTTCACTCTTGTTTGATTCTCAATCACTTTTGAACACTCAAAATACCCATCAAAGAGATTGTGATGTAGGCTCTACTTCAACGGAACAATGTGACAACCCTAAGAAATAAACGTAAAACAATGTTAGAATATTGAGTCGATGTAGGGAGCTCATAAGCATATGTATTCTTCTGTTATTGTGTCTAAGGTGCACGGTGGTAGAGAGAACACTGTGAAGTGGGTGTGAGATGCACATCTTATTGTCAAATGTGACTTATAGAATCTCCATTAACGCCTAGAAAGACCAGTGTGAGATGCACATCTTATTGTCAAATGTGACTTATAGAATCTCCATTAACGCCTAGAAAGACCAAACAACAGTGATTTCTTCATTTTAGAGAAATAAATTGAAAGAGTAAATGCTTATTCTATACTTGCAATATTCAAATACAGAGTATTATTTTGTATATTAAGAGTTTTATTATACACATACGATATAATTATTCATGAAATTAAATCATTTAATTATATGGATATTTTTGGTGACTTTAAAATACTCGATTGTTTTTTGTTGTACACACCCCTTGCACGTGAAGGGATGTGTTTGGGGGTATAAAATATAGCTTGAGGCTTCCTTTGAATTTTTCCCGTGCATTGCACGGGAGGAATACTAGTTGTTATCAATAATCAAACCTAAATCAAAGACCATTTCGACCCTATGTATAGGACTTAGGAAAATTCTACTTGTACCCCATATTTGTACCTCATTTTGTACCTCAACGCTTTGCTCTGACATTAAATGTAAGTGCAAAACTGATAATATGCCAGTGTTGCACTTACATTTTTTGTGTAATCTTCTGTCATGTTCGTGTAAATTGAATGTTAAAAATGTGATTTGACATCGACCTTATGTCCAATGATGCATTCTGATGTGTGTTTGATGAACAACACAATAATATTGACTATGATTATGGAGTAGAATTCTGATGAGAGATGACATCTGTAGAGTATGGATATGGTGAACTTTGAATCCAATTGATAAATCACACATCAATATGAAACAGTTGCATTTGACATGATATAAAGAATTTATGATTTTTGTAAAATTTCATTTTTAATCTTTAATTTAACACTGACATGATATAATATAAACAAACTAAATATGAAAAATATTCATAAAAGAAAGACTACATGCATAATATTTGATAATGTATAATACTCCGAGTAGATAACTAAAGGGGCGTTTGGTTCGGGGGTAAGGGAAACGGGAAACGGAATTGTCGTTTGTTTTAAAAAAAGTTCATTTTGTTTCTCTATTTTTTGGTTTTGGATTACCACATTTCGCCTCTTTCGATTCTCCGCTCCCTATCGGGGTTTCCCAGCCCTATTCCCCTCTTCCCCTTCCCTTACCCTTCTTCCCCTTCCCTAACCCTTCATCCCCGTGCATTTCTTCCCCAATCTGTGCCTCTCTTTCATCACTTTCTTCCCGCGTAGCACATCTGTTTCTTCCCGCCGCTGCCCCATCGGGTCTCGCCGCCACCCCATCGCGTCTCGCCGCCACACCGCGACTCCATCCGCACCGCAGCCCAAGTATGTTCCTCCCCCTTATAGCTCCGTTTCCTCCCCTCTCGCTCCAATTCCTTCACTCCAGCTCAGATTTCCTTTACTGAACCAAACAGACTAGGTAATTCAGGGTCTCTTTCCCCCTCATTTCCTTTCACGTTTCCTTTCCCTTTTCTCAAACCAAACGCCCCCTATAGAAGGGCTATGTTGCTACTCTCTCCGTCCGAAAATATTCTTCCCATTTGACTTTTCACGGTCTCCAATATTGCACTTTGACCAAAAATACCTATATTTATACATAGATATATTTTATAAAAATTTGATATTTGAAAACTACGTTTCATTATGAATATATTGATATTAAATTTATATCATAATACAATGTGTTTTTCCACAAATCATAGTCAAAGTTTATAAACTTTAACTAAGAAAAGTTAAATGTGAAGAACATTTCTGGCCAACCGAGGAGTATAAAAGAACACACTATTCGGCTGTTTGCAATTGCTGTTCCATCTCCTATTGCTATTTGTTACGGAGTAGTGGCTTACCCCGTTTCATTGTTTTTGGGATAGGGGCGTCAGAGGAGAAAATCTAGCCGCTACTCAACCAGAGATCAAACCCTAACCGGACTCAAGATTTTCGATTCCATTAGAATCTCCATGGCCAGCGAATCAACCGATCGCTCCCGTCGCAAGCATCGCCACTCATCTTCCGATGAAGAAGTCAAGGAGACATCAAAACGCCCCAAGCACCGTCACCATCACCATCACCGGCGCCATCGTCACCATACCAAAAAGCACCGAGAGAGTGTTTCGGAGCCCGACATTGAAATTGGCAAGGCTGAGGCTGAAATTGGGAGCGAAACGCAGGATCTCGGTGGGGTAGCTGTGGGTGTGATCAGGGGCAGTTCCAATGTCGTTGTTGATTACGAAATGGAGGAAGGAGAGATTATTGACGATATTTTGCCTTCTTCTGTTGCTGATGACGAAGGCGATGGTAGAAATACTGAATTGGGCGTAGACATAGAAGATACAGTACTCCAAAACCATCCTCTTGCTGATGTCAACAATTCAAACATGGTCTGTTCTGATCCCCTAATATCGTCTCAGCAAATCCAGTAAATTCGTTTTCTTGAAAAGTACACTTGTCTGCCTCGAATGATGCAGGAGTTAATTGAATTCTATATATGGTAAATGTGGTTTAGTTCAAGTACACGGTCCTTTTTTGTTTAGTCTTTTCTTCATCATTATCATCATCTTCTTTTATGTTCTTAAAAAAATTTAAACCATATACACACCTCTGTGCCATACGTGATGCCTTAATGGTGTTTTAGTTGTACTATAGAATCAACTGGTTCCTCATAAGTATGAATGTATAGCAGCATATGTTTGCGTGTCACATACCTGATAAATTCTCTTCCGTTCAGAGCCATCCACAATTTTTGACTATATTCTTCAGGCAATGTACACTAGCAGTGTTCTGATTTCTGAAGACCGATGGCTTTCATTTTTTCTGTAAGCAATAGTTAGAGGTTTTCATCACCCATCTGTCGTTGTAATGTTCATTCCTCTTTCTATTATCTACGATGGAAAACCGAGTGAACTTATATAATTTAATAACTTTTTTTTCATATTTACTGTAGAAACATCATACAGCTCCATCGGAGGGGCCTAATCCCATCCTGCCTGCTGAAGAGAATTTGGGAAAAAATGAGAAGAGTTCAATATCTTCAGGAATAGACAACACAAAGAGGAAAGATAGAGAATGTGCTGATTATAAGATCCACAAGAATTTAGGTCAGGAAAGAATGTCTAGCAAGGAACATCTTGCCAATGGCAACTCTATTGGAGAAGACCGTAGAGAGAACCATAGACATCATAATGGAAAATATTCCCCCAGTAAGGAAAGTAGAAAGCAAAGGAGCTACTGTGGCAATGAGAATGATTTCAACCAGAGAAATTCTTTGACACTTGACAGTGATGGGAAGATGCACAGTGCTAATAATGATTTGGATACTGAAAGAATGAGTGAGTATAATCAAGACTATCAACACCGAAGATATTTAAATGAAAAAAAGGAGCGCAGTCCTAGTCGTAGTAGATATGATATCCGAGATGTTAGGCACCGTAGCCGGGAGACAAAGGAACGACACTGGGAAGCAAGTTTGGAGATTGACAGGAATGTAATCAGAGAAAAGGACCAGGAAAGGGAAAGAGAAACATACAGGGTAAGGGAGAGCGAAAGAGAAAGAGCCCGAGTTAGGGAGAAGGAAAGGGATAGACATCGGGGCAATGACAGCAGTCGAGAGAGAGAAAGGGAAAGGAGGAGAGATAAGGATAGAGAGAGCCAAGGAGGTAGAAGTAGGGACGTAGAGAGAGATAGGGACAATGTTAGATCTCGCAGGCATTGTAGATATGATGATTTTGGCAGGAGCTACGGCGACGAGGATATGTATGGTGCTTCCAGGCATATTAGAGATGGGCATAATAGAGATGATGGGACTGGGCATGGCCACAGAGGCAGGTCAGGCAATGCAGAAGGAAAAAAATCCGACAAAACAGTAGTGGAATTGGGAAGTGATAAATTTAGAAGGTACCTTTCTCTCATGCTTTAACATTGTGTTTTAAGACTTTACATTAGCTGGATTAATCTTTTATGGGCTTTGCTGCTTTGGTGGATTTCAGAGATGAAGATGAACAGGAGGATTTTCAGGACAAAATCACATTCCAACTTGCTGAACAAGATGAAGATACTGAGAGGATTAAGGAGGAGAGTAGACGGCTACGGCAAGCCATACTTGAAAAGTACAAGAATCAGCAGCCACAGACACATGCTAAGAATTGTTCCGAAGAAAGTGGCAAGTTTTATGCACTTTTTTTGTTGATCTTTCCCCCCATATATGCACAGTTCAAGAAATCCAACTTTTAATACTTTTGCTCACAAGTCCTAGTCGGGCATGGGGTAGCATTTCAGGGTGAAACTTGTATATAATGCATATGGTATCTAACAGTTGGTAACAAGACTAACAACTTGACAATCAAGTGCTAAACAAGTATTTGGTTTTCCACAATAGTGAAGTTCATTAGCAGGGTTTTGGCTAATGATTTAGTTCATTTTTTAACTAGTGTTGTATTTTATTTTCTCTAGGCTTTTTTCAATTTTCTATTTGTGGATAAAGATTATGCATCACTTCTTCCTTAACAGTGCTGTTTTTATGGGTTGAACAGCTAAGCCTGATCGAGATGTTAATGTTGTGCCAGAAGTAGATGCTAGAGCCGATGATACAGACATTTCTGTTGGCGAACCAGAATTTTCTGTTGGAAAATCTCCTCGCCAGGATGATCTCTCTGTGAATGAGCAGGCTTCTGGAGTTGGTGGACTAGGACATGGTACCCCGAAGGTGCTCCAACTGTTATTTCAACTGTCATTTTTTATTCATCAGTTCCATTTTGAGTACTAATTGGTACATCATTTATTTTTCAAGCTACATGTTTGATGGACAGATGTGTTATGTGCATTTATTTTGTATGCATAATTTGCTGTGTTTGTGTGCATAGAAAATGTTAGATTTAATCGGGTTTGTTCTCATATAACACCAAATGGGTAATGAGTCAACGTTCGGGTCAGTTAGTATGGTGTTGGTTAGTGTGTTTTACACATTTATTTAATTTAATTAAAAAAACAGTTGGGTAGTTTCTAAAAGCAGTATTGGGTAGTTTCTAATAATAATAGGTGTGTTGGTTTGTAATACATGTGTTGGTCTGTAAAAGCTGTGTCAGTTGGTTCTCTATTTATATTCAAGAACACAAAGATTCCTGCACAAGTTCACAACAATAAAATACTCTGTTGTGCTTCCTGTCTAACAGATAAAGGATAATATAAGGTCGTAATTTAAGTATTTCTAATGTTTGTTGACAATTGATATTGCTTACTAACATCTTGGACTTGTAACATTGCAGAGTGAGAGGTTGAATGACATGTTTTGTGATGATATATTTGGAGAATCACCTGCAGGAGATCGCAAGCAAGTAAGTCTTATATTCCTCTGGACACATAAGCCTTTTGCTGTTTACTTTGTCATCAACCAATCTTTGTAGGGGGTAACTTGTACATGAGTTGACACAATCACCATAACAATCACATTATTTATACTTTCTTTTAATGTATAAATCCAATGCTTTGTTTTGAGCCGAACTGTTGAGATTGATCTTTTCCCCCGATGGATTGATACAATATTGATACACGAAGCATAGAAAAGGTATGATATATAAATATATTAGCAATGCAGAACCACACCGATAGGGCAAATTATATGCAATCAGTCAATCAGATGGTTTGATTTTAGTGCTTTTCTCTCAAAGTTGCACTAAGATGTTTTGTTGTGAAAGTGGGATATTGCTGGTGACTTTCATTCACATTTTGAAGGTCTGGAAACAGCCGCTCCATGTTCTGACATAGGGGTCAGGCTGCGTACCTTTTGACCCCCCTTACCCCGCAATGGGTGGGAGCCTTTGAGGCACTGGGGTAAAGTTGTTGCATTCACATTTTGAAGTGACCATTCAGTTTTGCAGTGCTTTCATTTGAGTGTGTGTCATTTGATAGTATTATTATATGATTATAATTATAATTATAATAATTATTATTATATGCATAATCGCATTTTTCATTTCGGTTTTCCTTTTCAGGGTAAAGAGGATACCTTAGCAGTTGAAAGAGGTGGCCTTCATGATAACTGGGATGATGCAGAAGGGTATTATAGTAAGTTACCAGTTTATGTTAATTGCAGGTCTTCCTTTATTAAGGTGGCCTTAGTTGTCATCATTTTCCTATATTTTTGCCTGTCATGGATACTTATAAATGTTGTCTTTGTCAACTGATTTTATGGCTTGTATGCATCATTTTAGTTTCTGATTTAATATTTCTGATATTGTGATAAGAACAATAATCAGCTTTATACAAGGGAAACACATAACTTTTATGCAATATATAAAAATTTAATGTCCATGTCCAACATGTTTTTAAATCTATTACTTATTGAATTCGGTACTTGAGCTTTATTTATTTCCTTGCTTCTCCTTCTCATTTGTGGTTTGCCACTTGATAATGTAATTTGTTTATATCTTATCTTATACTCAGGCTACCGTTTCGGAGAAGTTCTTGATGGTCGATATGAGATCATTGCTACCCATGGAAAAGGAGTCTTTTCTATGGTCGTTCGTGCTAAAGATCTAAAGGCTAAACATGGCGATCCAGAAGAGGTAGCAATAAAAATGATCCGTAATAATGAAACAATGTATGTTCTGTTATATTCTTTACCAGTTCCTGCACTCATTGCATGCTTTACAACCGACCTAATTTTGTGGTAATGTGAGGAGCATAGGTACAAGGCTGGTATGGAAGAACTGGTGATATTGAAGAAGTTAGTTGGTTCCGACCCTGAGGATAGGCGCCACTGCGTTCGCTTCCTTTCTAGCTTCAAGTACCGGAATCATCTATGCTTAGTGTTTGAATCTCTTCATATGAATCTTCGAGAGGTTTTGAAGAAGTTTGGACGTAATATTGGACTAAAACTTACTGCTGTGAGGACATATGCAAAGCAACTATTTATTGCTTTGAAGCATTTAAAAAACTGTGGTGTTCTTCATTGTGATATTAAACCTGATAACATGCTGGTGCGTGACCTGTTCTTTCATGCTTTCCTCGTCATGTTCCCTCTCGGTCTCTTCCACACTAGAGTTGAATCATTTAATTTTTTTATTATTTTACTTTTTTGTTTACATATGGGCTATAATGCGTATTTTCTTATGCCAGGTGAATGAAGCAAAAAATGTTCTGAAGCTTTGTGATTTTGGAAATGCCATGTTTGCGGGAAAAAATGAGATTACTCCATACCTAGTGAGCCGTTTTTATCGATCCCCAGAGATTAGTAAGAATTCCTTTTTCATCAGCAGCTCACATTTTCTCTTTAAATCCGTGGAAGAAATGAGATCACTTCATTTCTTGTGTTATATGTTTGTATAATGCCTAATATGCATTCTTATTTCTTGATATTTTCTTCGGTAGTTTGCTCTGACATCTTGTTGTCACTTCCTAAGTTCTTAATTTTTCTTTATGCAGTACTGGGCCTGAATTATGACCATCCAATGGATATGTGGTCAGTTGGTTGCTGCTTATATGAGATTTACACTGGAAAAGTTTTGTTTCCTGGCCAAACAAACAATGACATGCTTCGTCTTCAAATGGAATTGAAGGGTCCATTTCCTAAGAAAATGCTTAGAAAGGTCAGTTTGACCAATTTACTTTGTGTTTCTTTGCATCTAACACTCCCTAAGTTTCTTTTTTTACTTGCCTATTAAATGCAGTTTTTTTACATTTAAACCAACTTTCAAATAAATTCAATTGAAAACATCTTCAATCAAACATCGTAAACTGAAATTGGTCAAGTAAAAAGAAATGGAGGGGTATGATATATGTGTTGTATAAATATATATATCACGAGGTATTTATATGTTGTAGAGATGTAAATTCCTCTTTTTGTCTGTTGCAATTTTGTGTTAATGTTCCTTGTCCTATTATTGTATTTAAACCTTGTAAACATGAATTGAAGTGGATAATCAGCTTTGCACTCCTTATAAACTTCTACAGGGTGCATTTATAGACAAACATTTTGATCAGGACCTTAACTTTCTTGCTACAGAGGAGGACCCCGTGACAAAGAAGGTATCAACATTCTCCAAATTTGTTTTCTATAGTCAATCCCAGTTTGATATGATGTATAAGGATGGGAAGTTCTTTTTGACTCCTTGTTTGACATGCAGGCTGTAAGAAAGTTGATTGTTAATGTAAAGCCAAAAGACATTGGTACTATTGTTTTGGGCTCTCCTGGTGAGGACCCAAACATGCTCACACATTTTAAAGATCTTCTTGAGAAGATATTCATGCTAGATCCAGACAAGAGACTCACAGTTTCACAAGCATTGAGCCATCCATTCTTTACAGACAAGAGACTCACACATTCATGATGATGATCTTGACAGCAGTCTGCACACATGCTGTTGCCCTAGATTCCTGTAGAGTTATGATAACTAACCTTGGATGACTCTAACCCTTGGGCATTTAGGTGGTTTTGTTATATACTCTGCTGGCTCAAGGAACACGAGTGCACTGCATGATGGAAGTGGGAAGAGAATACATCTGACTCGGGAGTCCTTGGCTGTTCTTTCAGTGGAATATTTTCTGGTTCTATTGTAAGATAACTTGCTGATGGCATTATTATCCTGTTATGATTATTGTTTAAAGATGTACTTGAACACAAATGTTGCAATTATGAAGTTTACATGCTAAACGATTTCACATTGATAGAAGCATGTCTCTCAATGAGTTTGTTCTTCTGAGTTGGACCATGACTATCTCAAATCTTGTTGAATCCTTAATTTTGTTTATTTAATAATTTATTTCTTTCTCTTTTGCTGTTTTTTTCTAAGTTCTAACTAATATCATCTCACCTCTTTATGTTTGAAATTGCTTGGGTCCTGGAAAATCTAATTCGGCTTTTCATTCAGGATGTCTGCAGAGGTTATGGGAGCATCCAGTTCTTTAGGTGCTTGAAACCACCGACCCTTGAGAAGGTATCTTGGTTAGTTCGTCAGGAACTTACTGTGAGAACTTGTGCATTTGTGTTTTTGTGTGTTTCCTAACATTAAATATGCTTATTTTTTCCTCTTACGGTAATTTTGACTTATTCTGCATTAGAATTTGGTTCTACAATATATAAATAGAATAACATAATTTTCTAATGGATGATGAATATACAATAACATCATATATCCAAATTTATAACATACCACCTCAAACACATTGACAAAGATGAAATCTTTTTTTACTAAAATTAGTTTTCTTACATATTTATTTGAGTGATTATTTAATTGAGTGATTTTTTAACACTTTAATTTTTATAATACTCTCCAACTTCTTCAAGTTTTTTCCAACTTATTCCAGTTTTTTCCAACTCCAGTTTCTCCAACATCTAACTCTAGAATTCCAATCGAAAAGAACATGCCCTAAGTTATTTAGTAACCTGTGGTCGAAATGTTTAAATAGTTGAATGCATTGATTTTGCATGTGTCAATCTTTTATAAAATCAGTTTGCTAATCATTCTGTATTGCGTCTGATCCATGATGTGGTCATGCTGGAGCAATGTATGCCTGGAGATGTTAAGAAGCCTTGGAAGTTAAAGTGTTAAGAGTGAGTTGTCTTTTCAGTTCTCTGCTTTTCAATTGCTGGGGAAGTGTGTTTTGATTGGATTCTCTCTTGATAGGGGTTGGCTTCATGGTTCTACAATTATAGTAAGTTCTCTTGTTAAAATTTGTTTTATTTTTTATACTCCACCTCTGCCGAAGCCCTAAGTTATTGATGACCACAAGTTTCTTGGTTCAAACCAAACCAAACCAAGTGTAAGCCGTTTCCCACCTGGTGGGGTTGGCTATATGCATTTAGTTTCTCTTGGTCGGGTGTTTTGTGGTGATGATTGGTAAATGTACTTTCAATGTGTACCGAAAACGTTCGAGTTCAACAGCATAGCTGCATAGGTTTTAACCTTTAAGTTTAGATAGTTTTGTTAGAAGTATATGATCATAGAGAAGCTGAAAATGTGGGCATTTAATTTTTTTTAATTCTTATGTTTTCAGATTTTAACTTTTCAAGTATGGTTTGATTTTGTTAAAGTTGTTAGCCGCCTTCATTTTGGCAAGACCTCCCATCATTCAACTTTGAAGTTATCAGTGGGCAATAAAGGGCCTGTTTGGTGAATCTTAAACAGAGTTTGGAATTGACATCTCTAGATATCACAACCCCCCCCAAACGGGGGAGTTTTGGTTTCTCCTGAATTTGGGAGAGATCAATCCGTTGGTTCGATATCTCTCTCGACCATTGACCCCCCCATCCCCCATTGCTAGTCACCTGTCACAGACCATCCCCATCGCTGGCCACTTTTCGCCTGTCTCTACAACATTACAAACATCATTTCAGATCTCCAAAAACATTTATTTCTGATTTCAAAACCCATGCCATTTCTTCCCTCATATTTTAGAACCCATATCATATCAAATCTCCAAAACTCACTGAACAAGCCCTTAATATGTATGCCACGATCCAATGTCCAAAAAAAGCGGGAGGTAGTATAAATAAAAGATCATGTAATGTGCCAGTTATTAAACCCAATAGAGTCTCCATTATTTGTTCCATTTTAGTTTTCCTTGATAATGTTCGAGGAATTAAATTGGAGAGTAGTAATCCTCCAAGGTTGGAACTTGGATGGATTGGCATCTGAAATATTTTAAGGTTTGAATTAAATGGGCCAGTTCTCCAGAGGAATCCTCAACTGGAGGAACCATGCTATACCCATGGTTTGAGAGGTGCTCTTTGCTCAAATGGATAGGGAGAGATACTTGAAGAGGCGTTGTCTCGTTTTATTATTGTATTCCATCTCTATAACATTCTGAAGTATATGTAAATATTTATGATACTGTGGTTTTCAATTGAGCCCGGGATCAAATGATTCCTAGGATTTTTAACAATGCATTCATGAAGTTTGTCCATCGGCAATTGGGGCATCATGTGGAATGATTTCCAATGACTTGGGCACTTTTTCTTGTTCTAGGAGCACTAAATTGTTAAAAAAATTGTTACATAAAGGTGTTAACCACCAGTCTCCCATTTGGGTTTTGTTGTTCACCATTACTTTTTGGGACGTCTGAAGTTAGTTGCCCTGTCATCTTGAATTGCCCAGAATACTTGTAAGAGGATTGCCTCTTTAATATATTAAGATGACGGGCTGTTGTCATTTCATCACAATCCTGGGAATGTGGCTAGTCAACAACTAAACTGGGCGGATGGACGATGGAGTTTACGTTTGATCAAACTAACAAATACAAATTCAAATGATATAAGCATGAGTAATTTGTGAATTGCCAAGATATTAAAGTTGTAAATTAGTCATAGAGACCATTTCAAAATCCTTTCTGAAACATTGTAGTGACCCATCACATCTAGCTCTGCCTGAGTGGTTGTATGATCTTCAGAGCTTGCTGTGATGTGTATCTGGAAATGGGAATGGCAAGTCAGAAGCGGTTTGGTTTGGTCACATCATACGTTTGTGTGCGATCTTGTTAGGTGTGGATTGATTTGTGTGATGGATCGACATGTTTAGTTCAATTCATGAAATGTGCACTTGTATTGTGTGCGATCTTGCTAGCGTGCATCTTGGATGCCGAATTCGTTTGAGTGAGTATACTCCCTTAATTTCATTCATGCTTTTCTCACTGAGCCCTAATTTCATGATTGGTGCTATAATTCTCAAAGAAAAAAAAAATGAAGTGATATGAGTATCTTATTTTATCAAACAAGTAATGAAAATATGCAAAGAAAATTTGGTAAAATTGATTTTTTGGTAAAGAACTGCATTTTTGAAAGAGCATCGTTAAAATTATGAGTAAAATACTTTTGAAATTGGAAAAAACACTCGGACAAAGTCCGTGGTGCATAATTAAATTTAAAACTAGTACTCCGTATGTACTTACATTTTGTATGCATTTGAAGGTCGTAAACTATTTAACTAACATAATAATAATAATAATAATAATAATAATAATAATAATAATAATAATAATAATAATAATAATAATAATAATAATAATAATAATAATAATAATAATAATAATAATAAAATTAACAAATTAGAGTTAGAGACAATTCGTTTTAAGAATATTGTTGAAGATAGGATATGATGGAGATTGACTACTCATTCGGTCTAAATACTTGTGCAGTATTTTTAAAAGCCAGTCTAAAATACTCGTATCATATACTACTTCGAAAGTCTTTTAAAATGAGGTACGGAGTATTTTTCACTCAAATCAACAATAACTCTCTTCCTTCTACGGAGTAATTTTTTTCACTTACCCTATTCGGATTTTTGAAAATTATTTTTTAGTATTGTTAGTTTTTTTAGAATTTTTAAATCATCGAAAAATATATTCACCTCTTTACTATACTAGGTTTTACTTCTAAAATGTGTGCTATTTTTACATGAGAAAATTGTTTGGGACAGCGGTAGTAAAGTTTTATTCGAATGATTTTTAACAATTAATTTCACAAAAAAATGAAGTAAATATGAATGATGGAAATATTTTTTCATTGTTGTGAGAGACTAGCAACAATATTTAACAATAAAGTTACAATATTTAACGAAAAAGTTACAATATTTAACAAAAAGTATTTCTATTCAAGTTTTGAAAATTGTTAAATAAAATTCATATATTTAAAAATTACGGAGTAAATAAAAAATTCAAGTACGAAACAAGATATGATAAAGTTATATTCCATATTATCTTATCAAATTAGAATTGAAAGTTGTATTTAAAAAAAGGATTAATAAATAAGAGTAGTAAGAAACAATTTTTTGTTTGTTGGGGAACGATGATTATGAGCCTGTTTGGGAACAGCGTCAAAGATTAGCGTTATCGTTTTAGATAAAATTTTAACAAGACATATTACTTTGAAAACGCTAATGCTAAACGCTGGCTGTAGATAGTCTTTTCAAAATGTTAATGCTAATCTCTAACTCTATTTCCAAATAAGTCCTAAGACCAACTAATATAGCTACAATTTCTCTAAAAAGAAAAAAAAAGAATAAGCTACAGTTGACAAAGAGAACCTTCAATAATAATATTTTTTCTGTACAAATGATTTTTCTTTTAACTATATCGTTACCCTCACCTTTATGCATTAGTTACTATCTATATCATATATTTTTTTTTGCAACGACCCTATCTAAGGACACGCATATGGAAAGTCGAAATATTTTTTTTACTTTTCTTTAATTTGTGTGTAAAGTCAAAATTGAAGTTTATTTATGTAGGGAGGGAATAATATTACTCGGTTTACACAGTGTGCCCATAGAGAGTGAGAACCGCGTTTAGCATGGCAGTGGCAATTTCCAATTCTCAATCACACCAAATTTCTTAGCCTACAAGCTAGCAATATTCATATATACTCACAATAGCTTTAGTGGTTTCCAGTCTCAATAACAACATAAATCAAACCTTAATTACTTAATAGCTAGAAGCTAGCTAGCTAATTATTGAGGCTTAATTAAAGCGTTTCAATACTTGATTCAAGGACATCGATCGAGTAGTTTAGCCAAGAGCAATAATGGGAAAGAAGATTGATGCCTTACTTGGAAGAAACACCAAGTGGAGCGCCAAGTTGAAAGCCACCACAGGCCTCGCCATTTCCCGCGTGGCGGTTCTCAAGAACCAGCGCCATCGCCCGCTCCGACCTCCTTCAGCTCCTAAGCCTCGGCCAGCATCAAAGAGCCCTTCTTCGCGTTAGTATATATAATAAGTTTGGTCGAACTTTCTGGTTGAATCGGTTTCTTAACATTGATGATATCACGTGTTATATATGTATATATATAGGTAGAGCTAGTGATGAAGGAGGAGAACATGTTGGATGTGTTGGCTATGTTACAAGGCTTCTGCTATCTCTTGATCGAAAGGGTGGCCCTACTCGAACATCAAAAGTACTTTTACTACCACCTTTTTTTCAAAAAAAGTTCTTTTTTTCTTCATAATAATCCATGGCATGTTTGGAATAAGTAAGAATTAATTGAAGTTTGTTTTGGCTTTTGATCTCGACATACAGGGATTGCCCCGAGGAAATGAAGGAGGCGATATCGAGCCTCATATTTGCTGCTACGAGGTGTGGGGATTTCCCGGAACTCGTAGAGCTTCGATCTCTTTTCTCTGCTAAATATGGAAAGGGATTCGTGTCCCGGGCCGTTGACTTAAGAAACAACTGCGGGGTCAATCCAAAGGTACACATTAATCAATCATTAAGAAGAAGAAGAAGAGATAGATGTTACTCTGTATGTTATAGAAAGTGAAGTGAAAAGCAGGTGATTCAAAAGCTGTCCACTAGAACACCTAGCTACGAGGAGAGGCTGATGATCCTTAAAGAAATTGCAGCAGAACACAACATTCCTCTGCACATTGAGGAGCCCAATAATGATGAAGATGCAACAGAGGTATATGCATATATATTCTCACTTCTGGATTAATGTTACTGCATGTCTGAGAAAACCCAATTCTCACACCTGAGAAATTGAAGGAACTTAGACCAGGAATATAAGTTAATGAGACCGATATTTTAAGAAGTGTCTAAAAATAAATCCATTAGAGTTTGAACCAAAACGGACCGGACAATATCATATTAGTTGGGTTCTCGTGATTGCAGGGACAAAATAATGTTGGGAATGTGTCGGTGCGGGCAGAAGATTGCTGCATTGCCGGGTTGGACCCGGAAGCGGAAAGGGAAGTGAGAAGAAAGTACAAGGACGTGGCTGATGCGGCGCAAGCAGCGTTTGAATCAGCAGCTTATGCGGCGGCAGCAGCCAGAGCTGCCGTGGAGCTCGATCTCCCGCTCTGACGAGTTTAGTGCTTCTGAATTCTGATCATCACCGGTAACCCGGCATAATAGTCGTCGTGATGAAGCAAATATAGATATGTTAAGGGCATTGTAGTCCTCTAGTTCTATATATATATATTTAAGTGATGAGGACACACACAAAAAAAAAGAAAAGAAAAAACACATCCATGAGAGACTGAATATTTTTTGTAAAGGTGTTCTTGTTCTTGCTATATTTGTATATGTAATGTTTGTGTTTGGTTTGGCAGTGTACATGTTGCATTTCATGCTTGCTAGTACGTTTGACTAATATGACTATTGATAAACAAATCTTTGTGAGTTTTAGACATATATAGTAGTTGTAAAAGTTTCTAATTTGAAATGAAATTATTTAAACAAAATTGATATTATAATTTAATTAATCCCAAATTTTCCAGGAAAAAAAAATCCAAAATCTTTGTACTCGACTCCACTGGGGTATATTGTTAGCTCATTTTTCCAACTAGATGCCACCCCTGGCGATGACGGCGGTTACTTGGTTATCATCCCCTTCTGCTTTGCCGCGTCCTCCCAAACCCCTCTTCCGGGGAAGGCATAACGCCGCCGCACACGTCGTCAAGGCTGCGAAATGGCCTCGTGCCAGCAGCGTAGGATTCGCATCGTTGCGCGGAGAGAGACTGCTCAGGTTCAGCACACTCCATAGGGGACGCCGTATTTCACTTCCCGCGGCGGATTCCGGCGGCGATGGATTGGTTTCGACCGACGGGGACGATGAGGTCCAGTGGAGGAGATCCTTACAGGCAATTCTCTGGATTGCGGAGGGAGTTTATGTGATTTGGCTCTTTTTGCTCCCCTATGCGCCTGTAATGTGGTCACTGCCTCCAATTCGTTTCAAATTTTGTGTTAATTTTGATTATCAAATGATTAATTGGCTGTGTTATCTATTTCCCTAGTTGATTGTATCATCTTTGTTGTGATGCAGGGTGATCCCATATGGGCAATCAGTTCAGACACTGTGAATCATCTTGTTGCCCTTTCCCTTAATTTCTTTCTCATTTTGCCTCTCTTGAACAATGGTTTGTTTCTTTTTTATAGATTGCCACATAACCTCACGTATGCTTAATTTAAGCTTGAAATTATTTCTTACTCGAAAGTGTATCATTATTGTTGTGCTTTGAGTTGAGTCTTTGTTTGTGTGTGATGAAAACCGAACCCTTTGGGCAGAGTAGCTGGCATTCATTTCTTAGAGGCGCCAGTGCAACACCCAGTATGTCGATTTCTGTACACTTGACGACGATCAATTCATTATATGTACATTATTTGAAATGTATAGTACTGACCGAGTAATGTGATACCCGATCATCCCCAGGTGTCCGAAGGACTATTCAATTTCGTTATTGGGTGGACGCTTATGTTTGCGCCTTTGTTGTTCACCGACCATAAGAGGGATAGGTATAAAGGGTCGCTGGATGTTCTGTGGATCCTCCAAATGTTCCTCACAAACAGTATGTTTTTTTTCTTCTCTCGAAATTTTATTTTGTTGGAAAGACATTGATTAGTTCTTCAATAATTCTTAAACTTATAAAATGCATTTTTGGTACATTATTAGTTTTACCCCAACAATTGATATACCATGCAGCATTCTTAATACCATACATGGCCATAAGGCTAAACAGCGGAAGGAGAGTAGATGAACCAAGAAAGGCCTCTCGGTTAGGTTCCATCATGACTAACAATGCACCCATTGTGGGGCTAATTGGCGCTGGGGTCTGTTTGCTGTCAACAATTTGGGCAGTCTTCGATGGTGACTTTAATGGCATAGCAGAAAGATGGGAGTTCTTGGTGAGTTATATCGGATCCGAAAGACTTGCATACGCCTTCGTTTGGGACATATGTCTCTACACGATTTTCCAACCGTGGCTCATAGGAGACAACTTGCAAAACATTCACAAGGATAAGGTTAAACTGGTGAGTTATTTTAGATTCGTTCCATTTGTTGGCCTCCTTGCCTACTGCCTCTGTCTAAACCTTGATCATGACAAATCCAATACATGAAAATGATAATGGATGGACAAGCAACATGCATTATAAACTATGAAAATAACTTTTTCTTGGAATTTAGGTATACATACATCTAGCTAGCTACTTAGTACTTTAGTAGTGAAGGCCCTGATTTGATCAATCAATTCATCAGTTCTTGTTTGCACAAGTTGTGATTTGCCAAGGATATGAAATGCATGGCCCACACCTTTACTCACAAAAACCTTCACTTTCTTCCCTGCTTTACTCAAAGCTCCACAGTACTCCAAACTCCTGTCTCTTAATATATCCAGCTCGGAGACGAACACTAAACTCGGTGGATCCCTTGAATCCTTCATACCATCTATCGCACGCCCGTTTGCCGCAATTGGATTGCACCACGGGTGGTCCCGGTTAGCCCCTGCGGGGAGAGCCAACCTCCAATACGTGTCCGAGGCCGCCAGCGTGAGGAGCGAATGCGGTTGGTGGGCCATGCACGTCTCCGAGCGAGTCCTCGATTCTCCTCCAAAAAAAGGTTGAATGAGAATGGTGCCTTTTATGGCCAAGGGACTAGTCACCAAGGGTTTAAAATTCTGGTCTCTTTTGGGACATAATAACCTTAGGGTGACATTGTGTACTATGTTGGCACCAGCACTATCACCACATAGGAAAATGCAAGAAAGGTCACATTTGTTTGACCAATGATGTTCCTTCTCTGTCCTCCCATGCTGCCTTAGGAGCCACATAATTGCCTTTACCCCGTCGTCATATGCCGCTGGAAGTACATCCTCCGGTGCCAACCGGTAATTTACAGAAACTATTGCGCACTTGGTTCTTCTGGCCAGTTTGGCTAGGAATTCATGGTAACAACTCCAAGAAGGGGATCCGACACAGAATCCGCCACCGTGGAAGTAAACCATGAGAGGAACCTTCGTGTTATTATTATTATTACTATTACTATTACGGTTGTCACATTTTGGAACGTAACAACGTGCCCAAATATTCGTGCACCTATCGATCATCACATCAAATGAGGTGATGCTGGACTCCGGTGGCAAAGCGCAGGTGACATGGGGGATGATTTGGGGTCTCTCCACACGCCCATCTTTGTAAACCTTGATTACACCTTCAATTTCTTCCATTCTATGTTGATTGATGATCTGAAGGCGGCGTAGGCTGTTTTCTGCTGCAATGGCTGGATTTCTCCTCTTTCTCATATTATTATAACTATATTAATATGATCTCTAGCTATTTGATAAAAAGTGAAAGGGAAAAAAAGATAAAGAAGAAGATGGAGAATAGGTAATGACTCCAAACGGTAGAATATATATGGTAAAATGTTTGTGTTAAGAATGGTATAGGTTGGCCTGGTGCCATATTTATAGAGTAAATGATGAGATCGAGGACTTGAAGAAGGTAAAACAAATGTTTAAATCTTTAGTCCTTAACAAGTAGGGAGTATCTAGTTCTCTCTTGGCATGAACGAGTGGTACGAATCCCACTCCTCAAGATTTATGGAGAAGCTCACACAAGTTCGAGTGAGTCTCAATGAGTGCACGTGGAGACATTAATCGTCATCAAGTTTGTCCCCATATTTTCATAGACACTTAAAAACCACCTAAATTAGTAATATTCATCGGTGCTGCGTGTAAAATTCAAGTAAAAATAAATATTGCCTATACATGTATGTGTTATATGTGTGTGTGTGTGTGTGTGTATTTATATATATATTAAAAAACTTCTTTAAATCGAACAAGTATTTAAGGTGTTGAATGAATTGATGTATTGAACTAGTGGGAGTAGTGAATACAGTAGTAAGAATGCAAAGAGGTGAATAATTGTCCTTTTGTTATATACTCCACAATTGGCTAATGGGGATATGGACACGTGTCATCACACGGACCAACCAAATGTTGGACTAGTGCAGCAAGCAGTGCGTCGAGGAACAGAGTGGTGGTGGTGGGGAGTGCTGTTGTTTTTTTCTCATGATGACACAACACATTATGCGAACGCACATATGAATCCATCATCAATGTGTCTCTTCTCGGAGTGTTCCTCAGAACCGGTCGAACAATCACTCGGTGGCAAAGAGTGGAACCTAGTACTTGCAGAGGTTGTGTTTCGTACAATTGTCAAAAATCGAATTTAGTTCTTACCTCATTAGCACTCTTTTACCTTTATCAAGTGCACAACCGAACGATCACTCAGGTGGTAAAGTGTGGAACCTTGTAATTGGTGAGGTTCTATGTTTAGTTAGTACAGTTATCAGAAATCGAATTCAGATCTTACCCTCTTAGCACTCTTTACCTTTACTAACAGCACAACGCTCGCCAGTAAATCCATCACTTTCATGTTGGGTGGGGCCGTGGGGGGTGTGGAGCTAATTAATAATGACCATTATTGGTGCCTTGTTGACTCGCTGTTCAGTTTCTTTCATTTATTTTTGTTCCAGAATATAATTATCACTGTATTAAGTTCCTTCCCCGGCCCCCTCCCACAAATTTTGTCCGCAGCGCATTTGAGGTTTGTCATTCTTCTTTAAACGCGTGATGTTAAAAGGTTGGTTGTGTGTGTGTGTGCGAACAAACCATTTCATTCACAAAAAAGAAGAAGGAACTCCAATATATATTCGGATGAATATTTATTGAGAGCCACTAATGTTGTAACACGTTAAGTGATGTGTGGTGTTCTGTTTGTAAAATTGATTATTCGTACCTTCATAATCTCCCTTTCTCCCCAGCAGTGTCCCCTACTCCCTGGATTGCCGGTTTGACAATTAGAGCTAGGGTGGGGTGAAATTGTTGGGAGAGGGTGTAGTGGGGGTAGGAACCACCAAGTGTCATGAACCGGTGTCGTTTTTGTTGGTGTGACTTTACAATTTCCCATATTTATTACTTTTATAAACTAAATAAGTATTTATTTAATCCATACTATGCCTTGCGAAGATACATAAATTTTGGTGTAGTGGTCTTTTAAAAGATGTATGCAGTAAATTTTATTTTTATTTTTTTAAATTTACAATAATACTTGAATTAAGATTAATTGAATTGTTCATGATGAGAATCAGGTGTTGAGTCAAGCAAAGTACCAATACGCAGTGAGTATATATATTGAAACAGAACTGCATGATATCGGAGTAGTAAATTACTGGGAAAAAGATGGACTCGGGTAAATTAAAAACGGAAGTTAATGTTAATTAAAGAGTGTACAACTGTACATGGGAGACTCGATCCTCTAACTTGTCAATCCCCCAAAAAAAAACACACAAACACAATTACAAAAGAATTGAAAGAAAAAAACACACATCTACAAATTAAATTATACACATGCATACAGTCGATATACGAATGATGATGAGCAATAATTCTCAAAAAAAAAACAAAAAAGGTGCTCTGATAATAAGACTCTTAATATAATCATACAGTACTATTAACAAGGGAAACCAATCTTACAAGGCAGTGCACCTGCAAACCTAGTAATCCAAGTCACCTCCTCCCCCTTAAATGCCTTAATCCCATCATATAACTTCCCATGTTTGGAGGTGAACTTTGGATCCCCAGACTCTACAAAGAAGGCCCCATTCATGAACACGTCCCCCTCCGATCTCCATGTCCACTGCTTCCATTCCTCCGGCGTCCCTGCTGCCCGATGCGTTACCTCCTTCTTGAATATGTCCGGGGGAGCGATGAAGCGGTTCCCCTGGCTGATTATGGTCGGGTGCGCGCTCCCTCCGATCGCGTACATGTTCCAGTGCGTGTAGTCGTTGTTCACCACGTGTATGTACCCGAACCGACACCTCGGCATCCTCTGCACCAGCCTCTTCCCAAAGTGGTTGAACGCTATCGTCACCTGCATTATCTCATCCTTCCTCGATTCGTCGTTCGCCCCGAACAACATCACCTGCATGCATCCGTGCGTGCATGCGTTAGAAATGGCCAGACACTTTAACATGGAATAATGGAGGGCATAGTATATCATTGCATGGATACCTCGTTATGATCGGTGAAGTGGCTGTTTGAGATGGTGATGCCGGTGGATGCCTCGATGATATCGATGAGGCCATCGTAGCAATTCTTCATGGAGACATGATCTATCCAAATGTCGGACGAGCCGAAGATGGAGATGCCGTCCCCGTCGCTCACCGTTCGTATCCCAAAGTGCTCGACGGAGTCCCTGACCAGGCCTCCCGTGCCGATGACGATGTCGTGGATGTGGACCCCGTGGATGATGACGTTCCTGATGAACTGGATGGTGATCCCGGCCCCACCGCTGATGTGCACCTGGGCCCCGCGCCCGTCGATCGTCTTGTTGCTCTGCATGATCAGCTCCTGGTGGAGCCTGATGTTCATGATCTCTCCCGCGAAGGTGATCCACAAGGGCTCCTTCTGGATCACCGCGTGCCGGAGAGTCCCGGGCTTCGGGTTCATGGAATCGTCCGAGCAGTCGGTGACGACGTAGAACCTTCCGCTCTTGCCCCCGGTCGCTTTGTGGCCGAAGCCCATCCCGCAATCGGCCAACCTCTTCCTGTTGGAGGCCCAATGCGGGTCGCAACGCCAACACCTGTCTATCGGGTTGGTGACCTTGCATGGGCCTCCATACTTTTTTCCCAAGAGATGTCTGCCTGTGCTGTTATTATTGTCCGCCTCCGCCGCGCCGTCTTCATCATCCCTATCTTGCGACTCTGATAATGTCCTGCACACCCCACATATATTGTCATAGATGTGCCATTTAATTATTAAATATTGTTACACACAAATGTTACATACTCCCTCCGTTCCTAAATAAACTTCCCCTTTCGTTTTTTCTTTGTCCCCAAATAAACTTCTCTTTTTCCTTAAAAAACTCCTTTTTACCTATCACATCATACTTTTTTACTAATAATCTACATATCACATTTTACTTTTACACATCACATCAAGGGTATTTTTGGAAAGTCAACACAAAAATATCTTTTCCTTAAATCTTCAAAAAGTCAAAAAGGTAAGTTTATTTAGGGACAAGAGGGAGTATATATAAAAGAATTCATTAAAGAATAAAAAGAGTACTTTTGAACTTGGGTAATTAGGGCATTGGAAATGTTGTGAGGATGGGGCTCGTAGGTGGTGAGGGCGTGGTTCCAAGCTTCTATTGCACGCCTTCGCCACACTTCATCGTACTCAACTATGTTACCAAATATTGAGGGGGTTATAACCGCCACAATAACAAACAACAACCATAAATCACCATGATTTTTCTTGAATCCCTTCATCTTTAATTTGTGGGATTGTTTTTTTTTTATAACAACAAATATTTACAATTTTTTTTAAAAAAATTTAATTAATTGTATTTGGTGGGGTTGAACCCTGCAGGTTGTGTCAATTTTGGTCCAAACCCTTTTGACCCAACCTCAGCTCAATTTCCCTTTTATTTGTTTATTTATTGAAGAGGTTTGGTCCTAAGAAAGCAAGCAACTAAAATGTTTTTTTTTTGGGTTTGATCAAAGGTTCTCAGTATTTATATACGGAAGTATACGTAACAAAGGAAAGTGGCATTATAACCATTGCTTCGCTTGCGGTGAGATTCATCTTATCCACAGAGATATATAAACCAAATGTATAGTTTTCACGAATTAATGAATGAGAGTTGTTTAATTTCTGCACCAAGTGGTACGGTGTGTGACATGGATTTCTCATGGCGAATAGATTGAGGAAATGATGCGGCGATAAACGTACGTGCAAACAAAGCAAGGATGAGTTCAATTTTAATTCATGTTTTACAACTCCATCGTAGTAACTTAATGACAAATTTTATCATGGTTTTTAGTTTCGTGTTCATTTTTTATACGTAATTAATACATAAAATGGTAATAGGTATTGGGCCTTGTTAAAAGATAGAAATCCACATATGAATCTATAAAAAAAATTTATGAGAAGGTTGACATTTTACATGTGAACTTTAGGACCACAATAACAATTTCATTGTAAAAATATCTTCCTTAAAAATATACACGCTTGTGTTTTGCTTATTAGCTTAGCTCCTTATTCTACTTGGAGTTCAAATAAGTGTATAAATTAATAAGTGTGTTTTTTTTTTGTGACACGTAAATAATATTGCAACCAAGAGAAAAAAATACAAAAAGGACAGGCTTGCTCAAACATCAAGCAATTTATAAATTTGAATTTTATGAGCAATGAATTTTGGGAGGATCTAAGCGTTAAAGAGAAGGAAAAGTCAATAAAAAAACAATTGCGTAATTAATGGAGCTAGTACTCATAATAAAAACAAATTCAACCAACAAACACTTCACTCACTAGCTAACATTTATGGGCAGAGAATCCAATGAGAGAACGGGCAAGGTCGAAACTGACACGTGTCCCTTGCTGCTGCACGTTTCCTATGATTGACAGGGAAGACGACGACGGAGCAAAGGCGAAGCAATAAGTCCCCGACGAGTCCACCGGGATCAGATAATTCTCCGCCGGCAACTGCAACTTGTTCCCGTTCGAGAAGTGAAACGACACCGTTGGCACTTCCACGCTCGTCCGGTTCGACAAATCGAAGCACGTGTCGAATAATGCGACGCCGCCTGCCCCCCTCAGGTGGCCCGTCCCCCTAACAAACTCGTCTCTGACAGAGTCGTAGAAATCCGTCTGCAACCGCGTCACTGCCGTCCCCGAATCCACGATGACTCCGCCGTCGCCGTTGTCTTTCAGATTCACAGATGGAGGCATGTCGATCAATTTCCCGGCGACGCTAACCCCAGTCAAGTCAACGTAGTAGAACGTGTCCAGCTTCGCGTTCCGGACTAACGGAGCAGTCACGGCGTCAGGCGGCGTGACCGAGTCGAACTCGAGAGTTGATGACGAGTCCGAGTCACGGTCCACGAGGCAGTATGAGAAAGAGGAGACGTTGATCTGAGAAGGAAACGACAACGGGCCACCGCCGAGGCCGATCAAGCCGGCGGCCCCCACAAAGAGCCCTTCATTGCTGTGCCCGCAGCCAATCGCGACGCCGTTAACGGAAGCAGATCCTCCGAAGGTTACGGACTCCGTCGCGAGGTCGCCGACAGTGTACGATCCATCGCCGTAGCTCACCTCGTAGAGGCAGGTGTTGTTCCGGCACTCCGAGACTTGCAGGGATCTGCACTGTTTGGCATCGCAAGTGAGCGGCGAGTAGGTAGAAGAATTGGCCGGATCGAAGATCGGATCGGCCTGCTGGTAGCAATCCGCACAAGGAGAGCATTGCAGCCAGTTGACATCACTTCCGGTATCGAGCACCATGTAGACCTCACTCGGCGGGTTGCCGATTCCGACTCGGGAGAAGTACTCCCCGCTTCCCTGACTCGTTCCCGAAATGATGGGCCCCTCCAGCTTCTCATCCTGCAGCTCCTCCTCACCCACAGGCTTCAGATCTGACCTTGAGATGCCATTAACCGCCAGATCTAGCCGAGTCTGAAGCGACTTCACTCGGGCCGAGTCACGCTCCAGTCGAGCCAACGTCAGCGACTTGTAATCCCTCTCGGAGGTTGGCCGAACTGACAGCCGGGGATGCAGCGGGAGAGAGAACGCAGAGGAAGAATGAGAGCGCTGTTTCTGGCCATCAAGAGATCTCTCTCCCTGAGAATAGGCGGGGAACACGGCGAGAGACTTCTGAATCGAAGAAGGCACGTGGAACCACGTCGTTCTAGCGCCGTCCCCTGGAATTACCCGTGAACGAGCAGGGGAAAGAAGAAATAGGGCAAAGAGAAAGAGGATTGCAGAAGAAAGATTCTCCATTGCCGGAGGAGATGCTCGTCTGTGGCCGGCGATGTTGCCCAGAACCTACAGCGGTGTATGTATAACGAAGGAGCCGCGGATAGCACATGGATGGGCGCCTTGCCATTTGGAATAGATAAAAGAAGCAAATTCTACTATGGCCCTGAAATATTTTTAATATGAAAGCAGGCCGGTTACTCGAAAAAATAAAATTTGAAACTGGACATAATCGCCAAACAGTTTGATTTAAAAAATTTGAAAGGAAAAAAAAAAGGAAAATAATTTTCTTTTATTTTTTTTACCAAAATGGAAAAATTTTGATTATCTCTTCTATTAATACTCATTGCTTTCTCATTTTCTTTGTCTTCCAATTTTCCTCTCTATCCAAACAAAAATAAATATTTTTCATTTTATTTTCTTTTCTTTTTCAAATCACTTAAACCACCAAACAAACATAATGTACAAGTTTCTAGAAAAAAACTGAGGTAAAAAAAATAAAAACAACTTAAAATAAAACCGACACACTTTAGTGAGTTAGATTTTCAATTAACAATGAATTATAACAAATTAAGTTACTAGAGTATTTGTTAGAATTTTCCACTCTTGAGAAATTAATTAATAGTGAGGTGTTAATTACTCCGGGTACATTCTTCCAACATGTGGTCGCACCCGAAACCATGTTAATGTTAATCACCCCAGCCCCTGCAATAAGGCTGTATTTGAAACCATCCTTTATCTCTTCGTTGGTTGCTCATTTCACAAATAGTTTGGATCTCCAGACCTTCCAAATGGTTCAACCCGCCTACCATATTTTCCGTATTGGCTGGCTCTATAGGAACGAGATGCTTCTCAACAACAAAGACACATCCTCCATCTTTTTCATCATACTAGCAATAATCAGGCCCGCCCAATGGGGTGTGCATGAGGTTCATTTGAACAGGGCCTCTTAATTTGAAGGGCCCAATTTTTTGAAAAACTACAAACTCATGACTAGATTGAATTTGTTATTTTAGCCCAAAACCGTTTGAGAATTCAATGTTTTCTTCAATTCTTCTTCTCCTTCTTTAATTATCACCTTTATCATGGCTTCCTCTCTTCTATTTTATTTTCCTCCATTCCTTCTTGTGCCAGTTGTGAACTTAAGCCATCAAAACCATCATAAGGACTTTGAGGCTTCTGTTGCTTCAAAATTTTGACTAATTTATGATTTCATTTATTCTTTTTTTCGATCTTTTTAGGCTTAGATTTAATTGTTTCAAAATTTTTTAATTTTTATACTCCATAGTCTAATTAATAGAATATGTTTTGAATGTTTCTAATTTTTATTTTATATTTTTTCTAACTTTTCCAAATTTTATCCAATCCGTGATTGATTTCATTCATCTTTGATTTCAATTTTCTAATTTTTCTTCAATTCCGAAATTTCACTCGGTTGTAGGTCTTTAACAATGTATCAAACAGATTAATTTTTATTTCATCATTCGTAGGTCATAGTTTTTATTTTCATTAAAAATAAACACATTTGTTCTTAATGTTCTGTTTTATTCATCTTCACTTTGTTCTCAATAATTAAGCTTTTTATTTCATTTTTAAATATAAGATTTATCACATAGACATTTACTTGTTCCGTGTATGTCCGTCAAGTAGTATATACCAATGGTTTAAACCTAGCATATCCCTTTTTCATTGTATTTTAGTATGTTTGTATATGCACTTTACCTTCTATGGAAAAATTTTAAAGTTTATTATGTTAAATGAAATAACTAATACGTTAATGTTAGTACTTTGGTTTATCACAAATTTTGTTTTAACAAAAAATTGAGGCCTAAAATATTTAATTGCACGGGGCCATTTTGAATGATTGGGCGGGCCTGGCAATAATTTAGGAATCACGCGCTTTGTGTATCTCGAATTATACCGCAATGAGATATACTAACATTTTAATTATTCACATAATCACTTTGGTACAAAATGTCAGTTGTAAACTTGCACACTAGTATTACATTAGCACAATGTATAGGTACATTCTTTGGGATACAAAGTGGGATACAATTTTTAGGGTACACATTATTTAATTTTTAACTAAAAGATCAACAATAAGGTCTAAACTCTAAAGGAGCGACCTCTCAAATGGAGGCCAACACACTTCTAGCTATGAACAAAATATATACAAGCAACTTCATAAAAAGTATGAAAAAAATTATCTCCCTCCTGAGAAATCTTTTGTGTTTTAATTTTTTTAAATCGAATTGTGACACTCTTTTACAATGAATTATACATTATTATAAAAATTGGATATATCAAAACTATTAAATTTATATTAAAATTAAATATGATTTTTTTATAATTTATGATTAATAAGTGTCACTATTTGACCGAAAAGTGACAGTATAATTCACGATCTCCCTCTTTCGAATAGTCACGATCACAGAAGACAATCCAAAAAACAACGTCACTTCACGAACCCCTTTGAATTTCAGCCATGAAAGCACTTCCTGATAAGCTATCGCCCATCCTAACTATGGATTCTAAACGCACTCCAATCCGGCGTTGATTGCGGGCCGGATCTGCTTAGTATTCTCGTTATTAATTTGATTACGGTTGGGCTGGTTTTAATTTGATTCTTGGGTTGGGTCTCGGATTTTGTACCCCTACTCTATGACGTCCAAGTCACACCACTTACAATGATTGGGCCGCCACTTATTCACAAAGTTGAAACTTAAACCCAAACAAGAAAAAAAGGGCCAGCGTCAATCCAAACTCCAAACTAGAAGTCCAATCTTCAGCTTGGTTTTTTTTGCCAACGCCGCCATGATATATAACAATGGCACCTAGAGAGGTTTTATCTTCTATGACAATAAGACCAGGTGTTATGGGTCGTGATGTGAAAGGCGTTATCTTTCTTCACCCATCAAGCCTCCATTTGCTACGCCGCTGCTCTTGTGACGAGGGCGCGGGGTGAACGCTATCACTGGCGATCTGGCGTTGCTCTCTCTTTTTATTTTCTTACTTTACTCTTTCGTCCTAAAATGATTTTCCCAGTCCAGTTTACGAGGTTTGACTAAAAGAATTTTCAATTCAATTCATTTGATTATAGGTGTAAAATTTAAAAATAAAAACTATATATTTTAAAACTACATCTAAAGTTCTACAAAACAGAAGAGGACAAGACTATATTATTTTATTAAATAATTAAAGAAAATAGGTATAAAAAAAGTGATTAAGGTTTGACCATGCGAATAGTGACTGAGAAGTTAATTTTAGAATGAAGAAAATAATCAAAATTTAACACATTTTCACATCAATTAATCAAAATAAACACTTTCACACCCACCATGACATATATTTTTTCACTTCACATATTCTTTTACACTCCGTCAAGCCTTCTCAGGCCCACGTCAAGCATCTCATAACACATGGCCTAACACCTAGTGTGGTTTCTATTCTCCTAACTCTCCCAAAACCTCCAGTCCTGCCCCCATCCCTAATATCCAATTGGAGGGAAGTTGGATGGGGATCATTGTGGGCTTTTTAAATATCAATTTTTTTCGGAGTATCGTAAGTATTGTTGTCATATTACGAAAAAATTTAGTGACCCTTGTTAGTTATCTTCCCTCTATATAAACTATAATCGTACAAATTTTATTATATTAAAACACATATCATGAAGGCGAGAAGAAAATTATGAGACGAAGGGGTACTTGTAACATATTCTTATTGAATCAAATAAGATAATAAAATTTTATATTGGATAATAAAATTGTAGGTCAAATTGGTACAAAAACAAGTTTTAATTAGTATTGGATCACTTCAAACTAAATTAAACAATAAAGATTCAGATCATATTAGATCAGACCTTAAGTATATCAGATCATAATCAATGACTTGCACTGTATTACGTTATAAATACAAAAATATACTTCGTCCGTCTTTAAATGTTTTCCACATTTCAGAAAACGAGGCAAAATATCAAGCTTTTGCTATTCATTTTATTGAAATATTGGTATAGAAATAAAAAATAAAATATATATTTAAAAACTACATAAAAAGTTGTTCGAAATAAGAAGTGTCAAAAGTATCTTATTTCATCAAATAACTAATAAAATGTACAAATAAGTAAAAGTTCTCGTAATTATTGAGAAAGCAAATGTGGCAAACATTTTGAAACATGGGAAGTATATATATTTGTGTAGATTTCATCATATTTCAGATTTCATGATATCAAAACATAATAAATTTATGTAATTAAACATTACTTCCTCCGTTCCTTAAAACCATTCCTGTTTTGACTTTGGGCTAAAATAAGGAAAGTGTAATTTTGGCTGACTTTCCAATTTTGCCCCTGATGTGATAGGTAGAAGTAAGATGAGATAATTTGGTGATTAGTGAAAAAGTATGATGTGATAGGTATGGTATGAAAAATTAAGAGTAAAAGTTGTTTTTTAATAGAAAGTGGACGTGATTTGGGGAATTTGAAAAAAAACAAAGAGGGGGATTTTATATTCAATATGGAGTAATATAAAGCAAAAAGAAAAACAAATACAATAAATTGATTTTGGATAGCCACCGCAATAAGGTTTGGTAGCAACCGATTAGGTTCCAAGACAAATGTGAGACACACATTTTGAAAGCCAAAGTTAATACAATTTCGGAATTCACTCTACTAGAAAAAATGTACCGTGTACTCAATTTTTTTTTTTTGTAATTCACACACCAAAATACATTATTCACAGGAGAGAGACAATAACTATTTTGGAGTGGTAATATAAAAAAAAAAATTGGAGCGAATAGAGCGGAGTCAAACGGGGCCTATCTAGCAATTACCGGGAGTGAATCTAAAGACGGAGCCGGCAAGGTCGTACGTGACTCGGATCCCCTGCTGCTGCACGTTTCCGATGATCGAATTTGGAGTCGTCGCCGCAGCGAAGGCGAGGCAATGCGTTCCCGACGAGCCAACCGGCGTCATATAATTCTTCGCCGGCAACTTTAACTCCTGCCCGTTTGAAAAGTGAAACGACACCGGCGGCACGGCCATCGTTATGTTGACCCCCGACAAGTCGAAACATGTATCCATCGGGCCAACTTGGGGCCGTGACGTCAGGTTCACGTTGGCCACGAACGCCTCGCGGACGGAGTTGTAGGCGTATCCGGGCAGCTGGGAAACTACTGTTCCGGAGTCCACGATAACGTCGCCGGTAATACTGGTCACGGGGGCGCCGCCGACACTGATCCCGACCAGACCGATTTGATAAAACCCTCCCGTCTTCATCAAAGGAGCAACGACCGCCACGTCGTCGACCTTCGGGACGACGAAGAAGTCGAGAGTTGAGGAGTGAGTGGTGTCATCCTTGTCGACCAAGCAGTAGGAGAAAGAGGTGGCTCCAATCTGAGTGGTAAACGACAACGACCCGCCGTTGAGTCCCATAATTCCGGCAGGCCCGCCGGCGAGCATAACCGGGTTGTTGCGCCCGCACCCTATGGTGATGTTAGGCAGGGTATCCGATCCGTCGCCGCCTAATGTCACAGATTCCTTGGCGAGATCGCCTTGGCTGGTAGACGTGTCGCCGTAAACCGTCGTGTAGCGACACGTGTGATTCCAGCCGCACTGTGAGGAGAAATGAGTGGGCGATGGACAGGGGCCGGCGTGGCAAGGGAGTGGGGAGTAAGTAGGAGACTGGCTGGGAACGAAGATGGGGTCGGTTTGGGGGTAACATTGGTCGCAAGGCAAGCACTGGAGCCAGGTAAGCTCACTCCCAGTATCCAGGGCCAAGTGAAACTTGGCCCTGCCAATTCCAACTAAGGCCAAGTACTCGTAGGAGCCACTTCCGGCCCCGGACGTAACTTCCGACGACACCTCTTCCGTCATCGTCGTCCTCCCGGCGGCCAGATCCAACCGAGCCTGAATCCATTTCGCTCTGGCCGAGTCGCGCTTCAGTTGAGCCAGCGTCAGCGACCGGTAATCCGGATACGAGGTTGGGAAGACCGCCGATCGAGGCTGCAACACGACAGAGTAGCCCGAAGAAGGAAAACTCTGTTTATTAGTATCACGATGACGGCGATCATCTTCATCAACAACCACCTCATCATACGATAATCCTCTCTCCCCCGGCGGTTGACCCACATGTAGCGTTTCCTGAAGAGAAGACTCGACGTCGAACAACGTGGTCGCTACTGCAGCTGCCGGCGGCAGCAATAATGGGGTAGCAAGACAAAGGGCTAACAGTAATAATGGCAGGGAGGGGAACATATAATTATTATTATTATTATTATAAGAGCCGACATTCACCATTCTGATCATGGCTCGGGATCTGATGAAATGGTTCGGAGAGGATGTGTAACTATATGTTATGCGGCTAAATTTGGGTACACCACACCATATATGCCAGAGCCCCTGATCGACTACGACTTGCTGTGTGAGTGCGTTATATAATAATGAACCAGAGTAGTAGCTAGGGAAATAAAGGAAAGAAAAAAAAAAGTTGAATGGACTAGCTAGCTCGAAGACACACAAATAACTCTGAGTTTACGCCCGTTAGAACAAAAAACAGATAACCCTCGAGATCATCTAAACTAAATTAAAAAAATGTTACTCCATTTCTTCACAAAAAATCACTTTTGACTTACACAAATATTAAGAAAAAGAAATATTTTATGATTGAAGTTGATGAAGAGAGAATAGAATTATAAAAGCTAAGACTCTGTTTGGTGCACAAAATTTAAATTATAGAATTAGAATTGGAGACAATAATTTCAATTTTGCTGTTTGATAACACAATAATATATAAACTTGGAATTGGCATTGCCAAAAATAAATTGGAATTGAGGATTTCATTTTCATCCAAATCAATTTCATAAAATTTTAAATCTCAGGCCATGTTTGGTATACAAAATTCAAACTATGGAATAACAATTCTAATTCTACTGTTTGGTATCAAAAAAGTATGCAGATTTGGAACTCGTAGTGCCAAAAATGAATTAAAACAGGAGAATTCAATTCCACCCAATTCAATTCCATAAAATTTCAACTCTCAATCCAGTTCTAATTTTATTAATTCTATGTAGCAAACGTGGTCCCTCCATTCAATCCCAACTCTAAATGACGTTTTGCCCCATACAAAATTTCCAAGACAAAACGGAGTAAAAGTCAATATAACGTGCTGGCAAAGAAAGAAATGCCATCCAAAAAAACCAAAAAGCGGGAATTCTTCCACGATGCTCCGCAGATAGTTTGTCTTTAAGTTATCACTTTAAATCTCCTCGAGTGAAAATAAGTCCACAAACGAAAAAAAAAAGGTTGAAGTAGAATACGGCCAGCCCAGAAAAATAAAAAAATAAAATTGGCATGGTCTATAATTTATATTTTACGCTCTATTTTATTTTTTTAAAATAATTTTGCTTTAAAATTATAAATAAATTTTAAAATATGGGACCCTAAAATTTTATGGGCCCTATGCGGTTGGCCATTTTGCACATCCTCCGGGCCACCCATGAAGTAGAACCCATATATTCTATGGTATATGTTCCAATCGTAGGATAGCTGTTACTCCCTAGAAAATACGGAGTAAATGGAGCTCTAAGAACAATTTCAATTCTCCCACTTGTGAGTTTTTCTGAATATTTGTTCAATTTTGATTTTTACAATTAATTATTTTTTATTTTTGACCTCTATTCCATAGAAACTATATGATATACGGAGTATTAATAACTAAATAAAATAATACTTTGAAAAAATTATATAAAATAAATGTTATAAAGTTAATACTCCTTTTAGTTTTTTCTAATACAGAGTGTAATCCAAAAATAGTAATCTCTCCGTCACAAATTGTTTGCCACATTTTACAAAACGAAGTACAATATCAAGTTTTTTCAATTCATTTTATTTAAATATTATTATAAAATTAAAAATAAGATTTACATATTTAAAAAACTACATGAAAAACTCTTCAAATATAAGAGGTGTCAAGAATATTTTATTTTGTCAAATAACCAATGAATATGTACAAATAATTAAATAAATTCTCCTGATTTTTGAAAAAATAAATGTGATATTCTTTTTGGGACGTAATAGGAAGACTCCTAATATTATTTAGTTTCCTTATTCTTGTATTACCATAATTACTTTATTCCTTTCCTACTAGGAATAGGACTCTCTCTTGTAATCCCTATATATAGGAACATATCTCTCAATATTCAATAAGACAAATTATTATCAAATTGTATCATGGTATCGGAGCCTAGGTTTAAACCCTAGCCCTTTTCTCGAGACTGTGCCTTCACCGCCGGTCTCCTTCCTCTCGCCGGTCGACCATAAACGGCAACCATGGCTCAATCTTCAGATCCGCTTGCTTCGCTTCCTTCTGGCGTCAAGCTTCTTCTCCGCAATCTCCATAATCTTATCCCAGAGAAGCTCACCGATTCAAATTATCCTGCATGGTTTCTCAATGTCAAAACTGCTCTCGAGGCCAACCTTCTTCTTGGTTGGATCGATGGTCATGAAGCTGCGCCTCCAAAAATCCTATCCAAGGATGGCAAGGAAAACCCTAACCCAGAATTCCAAACATGGATTGTGATTGATACTCAGATCCGTGCATGCCTTCTTGCCGTCATCAGTCCGTCTGTTCACAAGCATGTCCGCAACTTCACCACATCTGCCGATCTATGGAACGCTCTCGCTGCCCGGTATAATTCTGTTTCTACCGCTCACATCTATCAACTACGGGACAAACTTCACACACTCCGAAAAGGTACAAAAACTATCACCCAGTACCTTGATGAAGTTGCCACTATCCTCACCGATTTGGATGCTCTCAACGAGGTTATTCCTGAGAGAGATGTGGTGAATGCTGTTATCCGAGGCCTCCCTCATGAATATTCCTCCTTCAAGCAAAATATACGGATGAACAATGAGAATATAAGTCTCAATCAACTCTCTGGGTGGCTAACCTCTGAAGAAATAAATCTTGAAATCGAGCAAAAATTGAGTATT